CAGGGGAGATGGTTGATTCATAACTTGATTAGCTTTGGCACATCTGGAGCTAATTTCTCTGTCCAGTTTTCTGTCAGATGTAAAAATTGCTCCCAAATACTTAAATTCCTCTGTTTGTCTCAGGGTGTTGTTTTTTAATTTAATTTCTGAACTGTTTTTATGTCTTCCTATCATCATTGTCTCTGTCTTCACAGTGTTTATTTTCATATTATATTCCTCCCCTTTTTACTAATTTGATTTTGGTGGTTCTGCAGGCATTCCGTAATTTCTGCTATGAGTACCTGGTCGTCGGCGAAGAGTAATTCTGTAATATCTTCTTCATGATTAAAGTTCATTTCGCTACATATGGTATCCATGTATGTTATAAAAAGAAGCGGCGATAGTACACAGCCCTGACGCACACCAGAGTTCACTATAAAAGTTCTTGACAACCCTGCCTTCGATCTTATGCAGCATTTACTACGTGTAAAGATGTAAACTGTCCAATGATTAGACACAGTGATTCTTGAAAGTTTAAAAAAAAAAAAAACTACCCTTAGTTTGAAGGGAAAGACAGAAGTAATAGTAATATCAAAGTTACAGTTCATATCTAAATGTACAGTTGAAATCAATAGTACTAATTTAGGGAAAATGGAGAACCCAAGCATTTAGGCACATGGATATGAGACAGAATTAGTTTCATATGAAAGAAATAAGTAGAACTTAACTATAACAGCAGAGTACAAAGGTATTAAACAGGCATCAGAGTTTAAATATCTGGGAACATTCGCTGAAGATTGCAAATTGGATGAAGAAATTAACATCTGATGCAGAAAAGCAAACCAAATACTGGGACAGCTAGTGCCGCCCCCCCCCCCCCTCCCCCCAGCATAAGACAGTCCCAATCAGCACAAAGAAACATACAAAACATATTCATTCTAAACCCATGCTAGCAGTGCCAGAATTTGTCCCTTAGAACAAACCAGAAAAGAAAACTAGTAACCAAGGAAAATAGATATATCTGAGAAAAGCAGCATGACTGCTTAGAAGATGTGAAATGACGAGTTTAGTTGAGTCAAGATTTGACATCACAGCACTCCAGGCATTCCCATACATGCTCCGTCCTCATCTTCAGCAGCCAGTGCAGAGTTCCAATACTGATGGTACTGGTCACAATGTGGTTAAAAGTTTATCTTGCCTTTCCTCTGTCTGCTGGTGAAGGAGGGTTTGAAACATATGATGCTTGATCTGAGTCTCTGGAACAATGATGCTAGAGAGGTGCAGGGAATACAGACGGAGATCGGTGGCCTACGTTGAAATGACGAATCAAGTAATTTTTTAAAAAATGTCATTGCAAAACCATAGATAGACTCACTGGCTGCCTAACAAGCATGTTAAAGTAAACTAATTAGGGGTGATTCCTTAGAAGATGTAAAAAGTCTGACTGCCCTTGCCAGTCAGCCAAGCATCTGATGATGAATCCAATTTAATAATAAAGAAAACATTCAACTAAATATGAATCATATTTACATGTTTAATACACAAAATTACATACTCAAAGTACAGGCAGCAAATGAAACTACACTTAAATTATAAAACAGCCACAAATATAACAGTTTTAATGAGATACCTACATAGCAGGTATTGAAGAGGTATTGTCTTATGATGTCTAGACCCAGCTGTTGTCTAATAATGTCTAGACACAGCCGTTTTCTAATGAAGTTTAAACCCAGCTACTGTCTAACAATATCTAGATCCAGCCACTTTTCAGTGATGTCTAGACCCAGCCATTGTCTAATGATGTTTAGGTTCAGCTACAGTCTGACGATGTTTAGACCCAGCCACTATGTCTAGATCCAGCTACAGAATAATGATATCTTGATCCAGCCACTGTCCAATGATATCTAGACCCAGAAGTTGTCAATGATGTCGAGACCCAGTCACCGTCTAATATAGATCAAGTCTCAAAGTGCAATGATGTCTAGACCCAGCTGTTGTCTAATGTCTAGACCCAGCTTTTGTCTAATGTCTAAACCCTGCTATTTTCGAATGATGTCTTCTAGACTCAGCTATTGTTTAATGATGTCTTAACTCAGCCACTGCCTAATAATGTATAAATCCAGCTACTCTAATGATATCTAAATCCAGCCACTGTTCTACCATGTCTAGAGCCAGTTAGTTAGCTGGTTGATAGATTATCATCATCGCATACTGAACCATTTAGTCCATAAGTTCTCAGATCCCCTGTTCAGTATCTCCCTCAGTGTGTATGTGGCGTATGACACCAGTTCTGTGTTGGTTTGCTACTCTTCTTTGAGACCCTCTAGTGGTCTTGTCTGACTTCACCCCTTTTCATGTTATGTTCGTGCAGTCTCGTCAGTGTTGCAGATCCATCACAATCATTACTTGATTCGTTTAATCAAGCTGCTTCTCTGAGAGCTCTCAGTATATCAGACCTGTCCACTGGTCATCAGTTTCCATGTGACCATCACTTGCAAGTCTATCAGCTTGTTTTCTTTAGACCAGAATGCCCTGGAACAAACATGAAACTGATTTTTGTCAGCCTAGATCTATTCAGGGACTCCACAAATTGTCTTTATATGCAGCCCTTCTCAATCTTCTTGAGCATATTTACTGAGTCACTGAGAAAGCCTGCCTGAGTGAAAGTCCTCCATGACTTCCACAATCAAACTGCTTGTCGTCAAAGAGAAGGCCTCTTTGGTGATTCTCTGTTCATATCTTCTCAGAATATGTGCAACATAGCACCATTTTTTGTTGATACTATAACTGTTGATACTAGTGGCTGCCCAGACATTCCTCTTGTTTCTTCACTCCTCTTGATCTCATCCCCTTTTATGTTTATCATTTTCCTCAGGCCTTTGACTTCAAATACATTCAACTTCTGCTCCATGACTTTAGTGGTTTTCCAACTTTCACTGCAAATGTTAAAACTGTTTCCTCCACCATTGCCAGTTTCAAGCCCAGATGAGGAGGAATGGGTGTGAGATTAGCCCCCCCCCCCCCCCCCCCCCCCCCGCAAAAAAAATTTATTTACTACACAGACGTAAGACCACCTACAGCTGACTGTAAACTCATGAAGCAAAATGTGCATATGTCAATATGAGCAAATGCAGTTGGTAGAATTTAGACTCAATGATGGGAGAACCCAAAGACTAATAAAATGATCCCACACTTATAACTGAAAATTGTTTTTACCTGTAAATCTTGCAAGTAACCAACACTGGATACTGTAAGAACATTTTTATATTATACATGTCACTGATGTCAAGTTCATACAAGCATTGCTTACATGTAAACATCATTAAAATAGATTCTGATATAAATGTATCTAGTGCATTGCAGTTTTTACTTTAAATTAATTTTAAACCAACAGATTAGGCACCCCAGTACGACGAGTAATGAGTAGCAATGATTAAATGTGAGCAAGATAAAGCTGTCATTAAACGCTTGCCTTCCTTGTAAGCGATCCTAAGAATTGTTGCTCTCAACACACTCAGGAGATTTTAGTGTCGTGTTCCATACTTTGGTGTCGGCCTCATTTGTGGAAGTGTCATTATCAGCTGACAATGCAATTGTGTTGTGAACGACTTACTGTTGATAAATTAATTCATTTACATAGTCAATATGACCAGTATTTCAAACAGAAACCAGCTCCATGAATTCCCATACTGTACAGTAACAAAACTGAACAAACAAAACTATAACATTCCCTGGCTTTGAGACTGAGAAATGTTCACAATTATTTTGCTGATCCTATCTCCTCTAGCTGCCATGGTGTAGCAGTTAGATGCTCACCTGCGGATCAAAAGGTCATGGGTTCAAATCTGAATGGAGACAGACTTTTTCATAAATGACCTTGGCAACTAGGTTGATCCACCCTTGGGTGGGTGCCAGTTAAAAGTCATGGAAAGTAAAAGTGGCATCAGCGACCAGGTCGCCCACTGGCTGGCCAGCAGACAACTTTGTGACCGGTTGGGATAGTATTTGGATTTATCTTCTTTTGATCACATTATCAATACAGAATTTCTATTCAGGGGGCTTGCTGGTGTGCAAGGCTTAACCATTTTATATGGCGCACATAACTTGATCACAATTATAACCTAAAGCTTCAGGGATGCTGGTTGAACATGATGATTTGTGTCTTGTTTAGCAAAGCAACAGTATGGAACAGTACAAGCAGCTGTTACAATGCTGCCCACACCACCCATAGGCTGACAACTGGTCTACACAATCCAGGTCCAGCATTATATGCCTAAAGGTGAGGACAAGGGTCCTTTACTTTGCTTAATATCTCCTCTTCTCTTCAGAGAACAAGGGTTGGATACAAGTGAATTTATTGATTTTAATTATCCTCACAGACTTCAGAAATGACATGAACTGTCTACAACACTTGTGGTTCCCCCAGACTGCTTCAGAGATATAGCAAAATAAGGAATAACATCGGTTTTAATTAGCAATTTCAAATAAACAAAGATAACACGACAAACACACTGTGAGTGGTCTTAGTGATGTGACTTGTTGTTTTTTTTCCAGTGGTGTTTACTGTGTGGACTGCTTAGAGTTTTGACAAAGGTTATGCCTTAACACTGATATGTATGTATTAACACCGTGTGTGTGTTCAGTGTCCCGCTGAAGGAGAAGGGGAGCCTGCCCCAACTACAAATCAACATGTAGTCAGTTGTTACTTTAAAATAACTACAGAACTTGTATACTGGTCTTCCTAGCTGTCCACATGAGTTTCAAATATTCCATACAGAATTACGTTTCAACTGTCTTTCCAACAGTGCTATTCAAAATCTCAGGAATCACACACATACAAGATGTATAAATCTTCAGCATATCATATTAAAGCACACGTTTAATCAGCATAATACAAGCAATTCACACCAAATAAATGTTTACAGAATTCCATCAACCAAAAAAAACACCAGTAAATATAAGTACGAGTACACAGTATTCAGAAAGATTTTCTGTAACCGGTTATCACAACACGAATGTCATCAGGAAGATGAAATATTCTGGAAGCTGATTTTGATCGCTCGCCGTGGATAGGTTGCTCGCCAGGAGCAAGCATCAGAAGCTGATATGCCAAGGCAGAATGACACATCCAACAGAATCAAGTTCTTGCAGGTTTCTAAAACACTGGAAGAAGAAGCACACAAAAGTTAGTTGATATGTGTGTGAAATATCTGGTCATAAAACTGACAGAGGTGGTCAACATTCAGAGGTAGTGTTCCACTTAAAATATGTAATGACAGTCCAATCAATGAAAATGAGGTCAATATAGACAGATGGTCAACACAGGGAGGTGGTCCAATTAGGAGGTGATATTGTATGTGAAAGTGTGTTTATCTGAATGTGGTAAAACAGGTGAATGTATGTGAAGCAATTGTATGCATTAAATATGTGTGTATGTGTGAAATATGTCAATGTGTGTGAACAATTTGACAGTGTGTGGAATACACCAATGTGGGTTTTTAAAAAAAAATTATATAATGAACATTTTGTTCAATCCATTGTATTGCAAATATTTCATTAAGGAAGTTCAATATTTTCATAAAAACTAATTATGTTATTATGTCAATTCAACAGACATCAAAATAGCTTATTCCTCCAAAGAGTGGCAAAAGAGAAATGGATGACAAATGAAATTCTGCAAATGATGGATGAAAGAAGAGGGAAAAAGAATGATATAGAAGAATATTCTACGGTACATTCCAAACAATTCATGACAGATGACATTACGGGACAGTCCAATATTTTCAAGTGCGGTAAAAGTGTACTTTTCTGCTGTCTGTCTTCCAAGACATTGCTAAGCATTGCAAGGGTGTGTTTCCACAGTGGATATTTGGTGGTGTCTGTCGCGAATCCAGGGAATACTTCATTTTCTGTGTTCTAGACAGAAAAGCAGAGACACCTCTGCCGATCATTAGCACAAACATAAGACCTGGCACGACAGTAGTCCCTGACCTGTGGCGTGCGTACAATGGAACTGAGAATATTCCTGGATTGAGGCATCTCACCGTCAATCACTCCATCAATTCTGTCAATGATGGCATAGTTGCACTTATGCAATGCATCGAGCACATATGGAGGTCAGCAAAAGAGAGAAACAAGCATCAGAATGGCATGCACAGACACTTATTAGAGTCTTACATGTGTGAGTTTTGCGATACTGGGATATTTTGGAACTGAAATGATAACTTAATCGTTAAATGACATTTATAACAGTGGGTACATTACTAATGACCTATTAAAATCTATATTTACTGCTCTGCCAAAGAAACCAGGCGCTTTAAAATGTGAAGACTATGGCGCCATAAGTCTTATGAGTCACGTTATAAAAATGTTACTTAAAATAATGTTGAGAAGAAAAAAGAACAAGATTAAACCAGAAATTAGTGTAGAATAGGAAAATGTACAAACAATGCCATATACATCCTCAGAACTCTTTTGAAAATAGTTAATGAAGTAAAAAAATGATCTTTATTTATGCTTCACTGACTACATGAAAGCATATGATTTTGTGAAACATTAAGGAATAATCAAACTACAGGAAAGGTTCAATATAGGTGAAAAAGATTTACAAATTATAAAGAACATTTACTGGCAGCAAACAGCGGCTATAAGAATTAACAACCATTTGGGAACATTTCATAGCATAAAGAGGAGAGTAAGACAAAGATGTGTACTATCACCTGACTGTTTTCATTCTACAGTGAACATATCATGAGATCTATAACATAAAGAATCTGATAACAGGTGACAAGTCAGAAAGGACTGCTGGCATTGATAGATATGGTGGTGGTAGAGAGTTATAAAACGGGCCTCAGTTTGAATTAAATGTTTAATAAAAAGTCAAGGGTGTTTTTTTTTTTTTTGGACAAGTACAGAAATTTAAGTATTTAGGCACATGGAAAACATCCGATGGAAGATGTATCACAGAGATAAAGAACAGAATAGGACAGGCCAAAACTGCATTTTATAAAATGAAGAGCATTTTGTGTAATAAATCAATGCTACACAGCGCCAGTTTTAAAATACAGCTGTGAAGCCTAAACAATTAATAAACAAGCCGAACAATATCTCAAGGCCTGGGAGATGTGGTTTTACAAAATAATCCTTAGAATTCCTTAGACAGCTAAGAAGAGCAACACAGATGTTTTGAAAGAGGTAAGGACTCAAAGACAACTTACTACAAACATCAGAATGAGACAGTCATCATTGTTTGGTCATGTTATAAGAAGAGGAAAATTGGAACATGTTGTGACCACTGGAAAAATCTGTGAAAGAGGGACAGAGGAAGACAGCCCAAAAAAGTTTCTTGACAGCCTTTTGTCATGGCATGGAAGGGTGTCAGCAAGAAACTAATACATGCACTTCCAGATCACAGATTGTAGAGAGGCATGATTTCCCATGTGAGTCAACAAGGCACATGAAGATGATAATGATTTTTTTTTTTTAAATTACTTTTAATTATAAATTATCTTTCTTTAGAGTTTATCTGGTTTTAGAGATTAATGCTTAAATCATAATTAAAAATAAAATAAAGATGCGCCTAAAGCCAGTATATACTGAAATAAACTTTGTTCATGCCATGAACCATTGGACATATGGTGCTAGGCCCATATCTGTATAAATTAATCACCACTTAGTGGGTCATGTAGTCAACATCACACTGGCCACCTTTTAGTCCCAGGTCATTTCCAGGTACCCATTTTAGGCTGGGTCAACCATCTCTGTGAAGATTCAAACCAAAATCTGGTCAGAAAGACAGTATCTAGCAACTCTCAAGAATTATTATACTTACCAGATGATAGCTTGTTTTGTAACCTCTCTTGTTCCCAAAATGTCCAGCTGCTCCAGCAGAGGGCAGTTGTTGGCAAGAGCTATAAGATCAGCATCTCTGATGGTCCTGAATAAATTTAAATGATACAAACATGCATCAACAAAAACACATCAAGAGCTATTAGGTCAACATCTCTGATGGTCCTGACTAAATATAAATGATACAAACATGCATCAACAATAACACATCAAGAGCTATTAGGTCAACATCTCTGATGGTCCAGAACAAATATAAATGATATAAACATGCATCAACAATAACACATCAAGAGCTATTAGATCAACATCTCTGATGGTCCTGAATAAATATAAATGATACAAACAAGCATCAACAAAAACACATCAAGAGCTATTAGATCAACATCTCTGATGGTCCTGAATAAATATAAATGATACAGACATGCATCAACAGTGACACATGCTAAGACTTCCAAGTCAGAAATGCTTCAGTATGTTATGATCTGTAAGAGCATCTTTTCTTTTTTCATGCCTTTACCCTTTAAATGCTGGTCAGCAAGCTGCAGTTTTCAGCCAGGCTGTGATATCCCTGCCTTTGGGCTTAACATGTTGAACTGCAGCAAACCCCAAGTTAGTCGCATTTGACAACATGCTTGTACGGGGCAATGGGTCAAATTTTTATCCCACCCCCAATCTCTTAATAAATCCTGGAAAGGTTGAGAAATCAGAAAAATGTATGGCAAACTGCTAGTATTAATAGTTATAAAAGAAAGAATATGGCAATATACTGAGCACTTTCTGGGGTAAGTAGACAAAGAGTCTCACAGCAGGCACTGAAATGGAAAACAAACTGACTGAGGAAGCCAGAAAGTTCAAAAGAAACCTGATGATGAACATTGATGAGAAAGGCTAGAGGTGTTGGACTAGATTCTATACAGGATAACATAGTTACAGGATAAGAAAAACTGCACATGATAGAAGAGAATAGAGAACTAACTGCAAGTCTTGTAACTTATGATCAGCACAGATGGATGACGGCGAACAATAAAGACTTGTTGAAACTATCAACACCAACAGCAACAATAAAACAAAAATAATACATTATCACACAAGCAACGGCTCCATAAAAATGTCCTTTCTCACAATACAAACAGAAATCTCTGTAACATGAACACTCAACTCACCGGTTTGCTGTCAGGAACAACTTCTTCAACCGTCTACACTTTCTGGCCAAATTAATGAAGCATTGATTTTCTGACTTCAGTTCAATACTGGTTTGATGACAAAAAAATATTTATGTATCAGTAGGTAGTTCTGCATAGTACAATTTGTTTTCCCAAATGCCAGACAATGACAATTAAAGAAAAAGCAGTATTACAACAAGATTTGTGAAAAGTACACTGAAGGTACCATGGAGAGATAGAGAAATAATGAACCACCCCCCTCCCCCCAAAAAAACGTGAGGTAGCGGCACTAGATTTTATTACAAAACAACAAGTGAAACTGTTTTGTCATCTAACTCAGCAGCCAAGTGACAGTTTATTTTAATGAACTATAAAGTCTGGAGCTTGTGAAAACTGAAAGTTAGGCTGACCATGTACACAACAGACAGAGGAAAGTAAAGAGTCCCTCATAACCCCCATGTACAAAGTACATAAACAGGAAATCTCCCACTGTGTTTCACTTTGACATTGCAGAACCAAACCCAGCAGCCCCTGGCTGTTGTGTGGTTTCTCTAGGCAAATTTATGTCCAGTAGTTTGCCATTGCTTTCTGGACGGTCAGCCCCCTTATACATACCACTGTCGAAACCAACGCAAGGCGCATGGCCTGTAGCTGGGATCAAACCCGGCACCTGGCATTACAAAGCGCTCACATCAACTTAGCCACAGAGCGGACTCCTAAACACTATACAGGTGCATATAAAATCAATGGAATTTAAGTGCACTTTTCAAGAACAGCTCACTGCATAAATGCTGATACATCGACACTTACTAGACTGTCACAGTCGGAGGTAACTAGATTCAGTCTTCTTAGGTTAAGACATTACATCTATGTCAATACATCGATAAAGCAGATCTGAAGAGTCATACAGTATCATATTGATCTTTGTAAGTGAAAGTCATAGACACCAAACAGATGAGTGAGAAATTATTCACAGGCTGAGCAGGTGTGGTCCTATATTAAAATTATGAAAACACCATGGAAGATAACAGAGAAAAGTAGATGTTTCGAAAGTAATCAACTCACAAAGAAAACTAATCAACCATATCAGAAGTGGACAATCCACATTCACCAGTATGTCAGGACATCAGATCACCTGTAGTCTGCCACAACAACAAGCAAGTTAGAGATACAAATATAGGAACATTCCTAGAGGGAAGATGCTAGACATTTGGACATTTAGTATGGACGAACATCATCGTTATGTAGAAGGTTCTTTGCAGAACATCGCTCTCATCACGGTCTGTCTGAAAGATACATTGTCTCTTGTCAGCTTTTCCGCCTTGTGTACGTTCGTATCCAAGCGGTTACATATATCCTGTGCCCATCTTTATGTTGGTCGGCCCAAGCCTCTCCTTCCTGGTATTACATCTTCTGCTTTTATTTTGTCCAAGCCGACCAAAATATTTCAGCTTTCGAGACAAGACAAAATTTATTAGCCAATCTTCCTTGATGTTCAGATCTTTTAAATTTCTTCTCTTCCTTGTCCATGGTATTCTGAGAATCTTTACATAGCATTTAGTCACCTGCAATAATTGTCAGTGATCAAAGGTAAAGGACCCTTTCTGTGGCACACCAGGTTTATGATGCCAGGCACATATTTATATAGTCACTGTAGTGAAGCAGTCAGATGCTCACCTGAGCACTGGAAGGTCGGTACTGGACATTTTTCAATCATGACCTTAGGCTCTGAAGGCTGTGGGTTCATTTCATTGATGTGTTGTTCGGTTCATGAGTGCAGTTTTTTAAATGGACATTACTGGGAACTGTTGCTAAAGCTAAGGAGTTTGTGCTTTATTTGACACTCTTAGCAAGTAGTGAGAATTCTTTGCGGAGACACACTGAGCTATGTGGGATAACCTGGTGCAATGAAGTTAATTCTCTTGACATTAGCTTTAAAATGAGACAAGCAGACATTATAGTGATGTTGGCAGATATAATGCTATTAGCAGACATTATAATGATGTTAGCAGACAATATAATGAAGCTAGCAGACCTTATAACTGTTAGCAGATGTTATGATGTTAAAAGACATTCTGATGATGCAAGTAGACGTTCTAATAACGCAAGCAGACTTTATAATGATATAAAGCATAATCTCTCCCTTACCACCATCCAACATCCAGTTCCTCCAAATAGGGACAATTGTTATAAATGTGGGACAGGCCTTCACTGTTGACAGTCTTCATACGCCATAGATCTAAACTTTTTAACTTCCTATGAAACAAAGAAAAGAAACAATGCAATGCATATTACATAAAAACATGATTAATTTACCCTGTAAACTGTTTTGTATGTCGGATATCCATGAGAAACTTAAAGAGCCCCTTTTAGGATACCAGTCCATCATAAGCAAATCCCAGACACCTTGTTTAACATCATAAAATAGTTATATTGGTGCACCTTATGCTTACAAATTAACCAGCTATACAGTGTGGTTGGAGGAATTATTGAAGTAAACGAATAACATTAGAAACAAACCTTTATTTTTGTTTAGGGATGTGTGGATCTCGATGGAAATGAAAGAGCTGATAGGTTGGCTGAATAAGCTTTCACTACCGACCGTCACCCTATGAATCATGCTGATATTATTAATGTCCTCCGAGAAATGGGAAGGGTGGAGGACTTTGGGGGCAGTGAATCCACATCACTGACCAGAATGGAGTTAGGATTGGCATAGCAAAAAAAGGAGACGCACGCCATGCCCATCAGAGGACTTGTTAATCAACACAGAACTGGTACTATTAGCCACCGGACGTTGGGGTTCATACTGAGGGGAGGATCTGAGCACCTATGGACATGTCCGGAGTGCAATAATGATAACCCCACTAATGACCTAATTCATTATTCACATACATACAAACGTCAGAAAAAGTCTTCTTCTTCGTGTTCACCAGCTGTAAACTCTAGCGGAAAGTTCTGGGTGTTCGCCTACCTCAAGATTTTAGTCTTGCTCCAGAATCTGAGTGTTGCGTTCACATCCATTTCACACATCTGACTTATTTGTATGCAAACTCATGGTTCCTTGCCTCTCAGGCAGATGTACTCCAGCTTTGAAGAATACTTCCAATTAGTCCACTCATTCAACATGTATGTTGGGGAGGCAGTGGGTCTATTCTCCCCACAATAGGGCCCTGAGACCCACATGGGGATCCTGTAAAGTAAAGATAAGGACCCACTTCATGGCATTAGCCCACAGGGCATATGATGCTAGGCTCATAATTATTTACATATAACAATCGGCTCTTGATGGGTGCTGTAGATTTTTTATCATAATCAAAATTCTGGATTATTACTGTGAATATAGTAGGGGTTCATACACCAAAGATTTATTCATTGGCACCTTCCCGTCTTTCCAGACGATAGTGTTGTATTGCACTATGAGGAGGCATGAGACTCACAGCCCATGGCGATGGCGAGTGTGAGTAGCAAGATCGGCTCGTGTCAAGAAAAGTCTTCCACAATGAAAGCAAGGGATTTTAGGACCATTGTTGTCAACATTTGTGTTTAATCCGTTTCTTTCAGACGCTCAGTTCTCATCCTTTCTACAATCATTTCTTCCTTTAGTCCCATTCCCTTCCTGATATGCCCTTTCCCCACAGCACATTTTGTTCCCATGAGTCCGCCTCAATACATGTATCATTCATGTCCTGCTTGCACACATCTTTATAATGTAGTAGAGGTCGGCCTCAACAACTAGATTAACCTTACAGAAATGTATCCGTGATATTCATGACTATGGACAGTGTTCACAATGAAAATACTCCAACTGGTTCCATTGCAATTTCCATCAAGGTAATCTTCACCCAGTTATGGCTTATGCAGATGGTTATACTGAACTAAACCTCCATATTTAAAATCAAGGATTCACTGAGCTTAATAAGTTTCTAAATCAGGTCATGAAGACAAAATCAATATAAGAAAGAGTAAGTTCAGACAAGTGTAAACAATGGTGAAAATGGCAGAAACAACTGAATACAAAGACATACTTGCTATGAGTGCCAATCTCCATCAATATTAAATTGATATGTGAATTCATATGCAGGCAGGAAGCAATATTTAGATGTTCCAGATCTGGGCTTAATCTGAAAACAAGTGTAGTATTTATAGAGGTAGGTGTAGTGTTTAGGTATTTATAAATGACCCTTTTCCATGCCATTAAGCATACTTGACATATAGTGCAAGATCTATACTTTATAAACCAGTCAGCAATCCGTGTGTGATGTTGTCAACTTCCCACTGGCCGCCTTTACTTCATCTTAGGCTCAGTCAACCTGGGAGCGAAGGTTATTTCTGACAAATATCCAGCTTGATGCAGATTTGAACCTTTGGGCCTGAGGTGAACATCTAGCTGCTATACCATGGCAACTCCCTATTTTTTATAGCTTATCATGTACCAAGTGGTCATAATATGGCCTGCTTTTGTCAGTTACTACAAGTTAATCGTGAACGGAGAAACAGCCAATGTATGTAACAAACACATAAATAATATTCATCATCGTTTAATACACACGCAATGTATTTTCAACACATATAATGTAACAAATCATTAAATTATTTCATGTGTAATGTCAAATTTCAAGTTCCCAAGCTCTTTTGTCTTGCCACAACATCTAATGTTAACTTTTCTAGCCTGAGCTGTTGCTAATCTGGCAAAACCTCCATTACTAATTCCTGTGAAGCCGTTAAACTGGTATTGCTGCTTTGGCAGGTCTCAGTCACCAACAAATCTAGCTAATGGTATTAGTTCTGTTTGTGAGTCTAGAATGTCTAGCAGTGCTGTATATGATTTTATTTACCCCCCCCCCCCCCCCCCCCCCCCCCCCCCCCCCCACCCCCCCCTCACAAAAAAAAAGAAACAAATCACACAAGGGATGAGAGAGGGTTATTGTGAAAGAATTGTTTCTTTAGTCATAATATTATAATTCCCCTTTTGTGGTTTCGTATTGATGCGGTAACTGTATGAGTCCCTATATTCATCTGTTAAGACCCAACAGAAACTAATTAGTTTTATTATATTTGCATAAATCCAAAAGAAAGCGTTAATGTGCCAAAAATAGCACTGTTCAGACCGTGTAAAATTAACAGTCAACAGATTTACTATTTGCTTGCATATCTTTACTTTAGGACTACAACTGAAAGATTTATCAGTATTCAAATAATGCGGCCACAACAATACATTGCACAATATACATGTAAGTGCCAGTTGACTTACATCGGTCAAACAGAGAGACAGCTTGGAAATAGAGTGGCAGAGCACATACCCAAATGGCTACATACACAGCTCAGTGATTCTCCAAGGGTGTCAAGACCAGTCAAGAGGAAAGAACCCACTTCTTCCAAAGGACGACATCTAGTTAATTCTGGACACGTAATTGACACAGACAGTGCTTTCCGTGTGGTTTATCACACTCCAAACAGGCGATGGTTGAGAATGGCTGAAGCTTTAACAATTATAATCAACAACTCCTCCATTGTAAGCAGACAGAATTTATAGTAAATTTGAAGTTACCGTGGTAAGTCATGTGACTACGGTGAGCTTCCGGCCGCTAAAGCACACACGATGTGTCGAAAGAAACTATTCGCTTTTCAGTTTTGGGCTTCGTTTTATGTTGACGTTACTCTGTAGTAATGAACCTCACGAGACACAACGAAATATGCCGGGCAATAAATTGTGCAATGCATTGTTTGTGTCCGCATTTTTTAAATTCATAACAGGAAAACATTGTTTTGGCTTTATCAGTTTACTTTTGATCTTGTAAAAGGCAATTTTTTTTTTTTTTTTGCTTTGCATTTCAATATTTACATCTGTGTTGTCAATCATTTCCTTTCCCTGCTGAGACAGTGATCCAGATTTAATCTTAAGAGAATTGCCAGGAATTTTTCTGAAGATCATGGCTTGTGGTCAATCCGGCCTCATAGTATCAGGTCCCAGACATTTTGCTGAATTTTCCATTAAATGTTTGGAAAGGAATGGTGATGAGGAAGGAAACTGGTCACCCCAAATGATATGTGTTAGCTTAGAAAATGTGCAGGTCTAATACTCCATATCTGAAGAGCAGAAAAAATATGGGTGGAGGAAGTAAAAGAGACATTACAGAAATGAAATATGATGTTAACACAAGCTATGCAATGTGCAAGAGACAGTAAACTACAAATAACTCCTCTCTGTGACACTTTGCTGCATATGCACTAGGACAAAAGAATCAGAAGTATCTGCTATGGGTCTACTTTTACCCACCATATCAAGGAGACTTTTTTTTTTGGGGGGGGGGGGGGGCAACCATTTCAAAACCATTTTATGATGTTAAACATTTTTTTAAAAAAAGGGTACTTGAATGTTGAATGTTGACTTAAGAATCGACATCACAGCACTCAGGACACCCCCATAAGCACTCCATCCCAATTTTCAGCAGCAAATGAAGGGTAAAAATTCTGATGGTACCAGTAACTGTCTGATTGTATATCAGTCTGGCATCCCCTTGTAACTCCTCGAAGTGCCATTCTCCTCAGTCAGTAATGATCTATTTGTTCCTCAACACTGTTCACTCGCTTCCAAAGGGCCCTCACAACAACCAGCTTTTCATACATCAGTTCACCACAAAGTGAAAATATCAAACCTTTTGTGATGTTGCAACTATTTCTCAGTGTTGTTGTATTGTGGTCAACAATTATATCAATATTTAGAGGAAATGTGTTTAATGAAAATGTCGCCAAATGAATACAAGAAACAAAAGTACAAAAAATGGAAGAGAGATTTGCTCCCAGTAGCTTACCTAAGTACAGCAATAATTGATGTTGTATCCATTTTGGTTCTGTAAACATTTAAATATTTCAATTTTCTCAAAGGCACAACGCTGAATATGGAGAAGTCTTCAATTTTTGTGCAGCTACTTAAGTTAAGTTCTGGAAGGAAAACAAACAGGAAACAATATCATCTTGTGCTCTTACTCTGCTCTCTACTTTAGTGCTGGATATAAATTTTGCTGTAGTGTGGATGGTGCTAAGTTTAAATATAGCAGTCTTTTCCATTTGGTAATTCATGGACTCCCAGGAACTTGTGGAATCAACTTATGGGTTATCTGATATCATTTATAAAAATAAAACCAAAAAAACCTAAACTTCAGAATGCAATTTTGTTGTTGTTGTGATTCTTATATTTATAAATTATAATAGGCTCTTCAGGGTACCTTTTAAAAATAAAGGGGATCTGTTGCAGATTTTCAAAAATAAGAGTGATTCCCAGGTCTCTGCTACTTGAGAACCACTGATTTATAGCATTTCAATTTAAAAAATATTTTATTTCATTTATGTATATTTTCAGAGAAATTACAAACGACTGTGGTATAGTTTTTAAATACAATGTACATACAGTATAAAACATCATCCGCACATAGCAGGTCCTGTGCCAGACACTGCTCTAATCGTGGACAGAAAGCTTCTCAGGCTCTTCTCCATACCTGTGTCTTGTGTATTTTCATGTCCAAGATATCACAAATATCACCTGTCCAACTTTGAGCTTGTTGTTCAGAGCAAGAAAATAAACTACCATTAACCCAGTCACCCTGAGAAAGCTGTTTTTCTGCATCTATGGGTTTTTGATGATATGAAGTCTTTGGGCAGTGGCCATTCCAACTGTGTAACAGCTTCGGTACTGGCTTCAGCTCATTAGTGTTTAGTCATGGTGGGTATGGTTGCATTTACAACAAAAAATTAGATATCATTTGAGTGAAAAAAAAAAGTAAACATTTTCCCACTGCAATGTCATAATGAACTTACGATAATGTCACTTTGCTCTCTGTACCTGTCTGAACAAAACTCTTGTTCACATGGTCAAAGGGAGTGAAATCAGTTAATTATTTGCTTCATTTACGTAGTGATTCATCCCTTACTAGAAAGGGATATTTTATTTTTGGTTACAAACTAACACTGTATGGTTAATTTTATTTTTTATTTTTAGTTGCTTATGACGAAGCAATAACTAGCAGACTTGCCTGTCTGCTTGGTGGTCACTGGTTTCAACCCCCTGAAGTTTAATCAAAACTGACCAAGACTCAAAATTTCTACTGTTTTTTCTTCCTCTTGTTTCTCAGAGTAGAATTTTCAGAGAATTCTACAATGCATTCTTTCTAGCGAAATTTTGTAACATTCTTCTCGGGTGAAAAAGTTAATTAATGAATATGAAAATGTGTCGCAGTCTATGTTTATTTTCAGGTTACTTCTCGGTTCAAATGTCTGCTGTGCTTCCTCCCTTACAGTTAGTTGCTTTCCAGCCTAAGTGATTATTTACAATCTCCTGCTTGCAGCAGCAATTGAAAAAGGATAAAAGCTAAACAGTGAGCACACACAGTGCCACATATACTAGCAGAACTGGGGAAGTTACAATGGATTTTCATGAACTGCGGTGGTCATGTATGCAGACTCTACATTTTGTATATTTAAGTTCATGTTTTCAAAAGATTAGGCTGGCTATATTTACCAAAACTTAATTGAAGAAAGGCAAAGAAATAAGAGAAATGTCTGAATAACAAATGGTATCATCATTTATAAGATAAATAAGAAGGCGCCATATTTGGCACATCCTTAAAAGTAATGAACAGAGAATCACCAAACAGCCATTTAAATTTTCCATCACCCCAGCAATTGAAAGATAACGAAAGATAACGACTAATTTCCATCCGAGCAAACACACACAATCAGCAGGCTGCGGGGGTTCCGTCAGTCGTTGCCTTCTGGCCACGTTGGCGTTGAGAAGCTCTGCAGACATGTCAGACTCAAACACATTCTGGATCCAACAGACACTCCTCCGTTCTTCATGCATTCAGTTTCTTGGCCCAAATGAGATCGTCAACATGCTCTTTCTAAGGCATTATATAATCTTCTAGCGCCCACATTATAATTACGACTTTTTCGTGTTCTCCGATTCACACAGGTTTCAATAGGCCAACTTTTTTCGTGATTCACGGCTCAGCCCTTGTTACATTTAAATATCTCATTCATATTTATTAGCCGACGTCATTCCGTCTGGAACATAACTTATCAAGGAGAAAATGGTTCACTACAGAAGTCTTTATAAAAGTAATGTATAATGCTACAGCAGAAAGATGATGATTATGATACTTACCAACTAGATTTGAACTGGTTTCAATAACTATCTTTAACAGATTAGAATCCACAAAGTTGCAGGAAGCCAGCTCCAACGTACACAAATCTTCAGTACAGCTCTCTAGCAATCTGAAATACACGGATGCTTTGTGAGCAACTGAAACGTTCAAACACCAGCTCATGCTGATAACAGACATAAATATGTCTAAACATTTATTTACAGTGGAATACCTCCTGAGTGGTCTAGCTTATAATGGGTACCTGGATGTCCAGGGCACAGGCATGATGTTGATTACATTACCTACCAAGTACCAACTGGTCTATAACTAATCAGGCCTAGCTGTAGATGCCCAAAGTGCCAAAGGTGTGAAAAGGTCCTTTGCTACACGCTTGTGATGGGAAACATACAATTTAGCTGACACTTTAATTGCAAAGTTGAGTTGTCAAGAACTGACATCACAGCACTCAGGGCATTTCCATGCATGCTCCATCCTCATCTTCAGCAGCCAGGGCAGAGTTCCAGTACTGATGGTACCGGTCATAATCTGTCTTGCCTTTACTCTGAGTTTAGTGAGCCGGCCAGACCTTCTAGTTACACCCAGGTGCCTCATTCTCTCCAGGCCACAACAATCTTCTTTCGTTGCTTGTTCCCAAAGGGCCTTGACCACATCTGTTTTGTCATGTATCAAATCACCACTCAGTGGTGCAGATCCAGCTAATCTGTCTGCCTGTTTATCACCCACCATACCGGCATAGCCTGGAGAAAAGATCTAAAGTATGCTCACTACCCATGACCTTGCAAGTGAAGCTTGTCACTTAGCTCTTCTACTCTGTTAGAAGACATTATAATGATGTTAGAAGACATTATAATGATGTTAGAAGACATTATAATGATGTTAGAAGACATTATAATGATGTTAGAAGACATTAAAATGATGTTAGAAGACATTATAATGATGTTAGAAGACATTATAATGATGTTAGAAGACATTAAAATAATGATAGTCATTATAATGATGCTACCAGACATTATGGTAATGTTAGCGAACTTTATAATTATGTTCAAGTTATAATCTGCACATACGAGACAGCAACTAACATTAATAGAATTAAGTGTAAGCTCACCTCTTTATGTGACTATGACATAAATGGCTTCCTTTCCCAAGCCATGACAAATTAAGTCTCTGTGTGTGCTTACAGCGAGGTATTAGTGAAATAAGGGAATCATTAGAAACCTGGAATGGTATGAACAGAAAAATAGATTTATGTTTCTCAACTTGTAATCCATATCCAAATAAATACATCTTTCTTTATTATTGCTAGATATTTTTTTTTTGTTAAAGCAGCTTCTATTTCTTCTTCTTCTTCCTTTCACTTACCCTGTTTTGCATTTCAAAGTCACATTTGAAATAGCTTTCCAGTCACAGTCTTAACAAAGACTGTGTACATGAAGGTTTTTACTTTAAAGGTTTGCCTCCTGGATTGCATTTTGAAAGATAAACACTAAAAGGATGCTAATCGTCGAGTTAGATTCAAATGGAAGCAAATAACTGAAACCCTGTTAAACCATATCACAGTTATATTGAGGCACCCGATAGTTACAAAATAAACTAGTCTACTGGCGGTAGGCGGAGTTTATTAACTGATGTGCATAAAGGCGTATGTCGCTTCTGCTATTCTAATCATTCACAGACTGCAGGCAAGCTGCACATGGATTCTTGCTGTTCTCACTGGTGAAAGTAACCAATGTTATCAGCATGCTTCTCCTTGATTCACACCCATTTCCACAGGTGGTTCATCATCTCTGACTCCTTCGTCTTTATGTCTCTGGAATGCAGTGCAATCAGTATTTGTCTGCCCTGTCCATACTTTTCCTCCACTAACTACCGCAAACACGACTAGTCTGTCAACTCTTTTATCTCCTTTCATCCCAGCTTGTCCTGGTGTGTATAAGTAGACTAATTAGAAGTGTTTCCTTCGAAGTCAGAGTACATATGACTGAGAGGCAGGGAACCAACAATCTGCACACAAATAAGCCAGATCCATTAAACTGATGTGCACACAAAACTCAAGTTGTGAGGGGGGTCCTAGAAATGGGCAAACAACCAGAACTCTCCACCAGAGTATATGGTCAGCTAATGCAAAGAAGTACCACAGAACTGACATGTCCCATGAGGTGGTCTCATTTAATATTAGCCATCAGATGAAAAAGAAATCTGTCAGGTAATCAATTATAATTCCACTTCATAGAAGATGGGTCACACCATAGTTGCGCCATGCCTGTCCCAACAAAAACCACACAGAATGTCCCTCACCATCTCTTGTCTGTCTCGTGATACACACAAATTTACTGACATAGACTGAGCAAAGCCAGATCAAAATTATTTATCAAATGCACAAGGCAGCTATCAAAAGTGCAACGCAAACAGTCTGACTCCAGAAATGCATTTCATCGTCAGTGGAAGCATCTGTTACAACAAATCAGTAGTTGCATATACAATTAATCGCCTAAGACACTACCGGCTTTCTGGTAACAGGTCACTTGCCATTTTCTGAATCTGCAGTTTTTTTGTTTTGTTTTCACTTTTTGTCAAGAAATACTACAGATGTAAATCCCATCTTGTTCGTCGAGCATTACTACCCATCTGAATGATGTGTATGTCATTTAAAAAAAAAATCTATCAAAGCTCATAATTTGGTTTCATTTAATATTACACATGTGTTATATTGTTTGCTATTTAATATTACACATCTGAGTGATGAGAATATAACACATATATATCATCATCTTGTTTGTTATGTAAGACTGCACATCTGAATGATGCACACACACATGCAGGCAGACAGACAAACAGATGTGCATATGCACATACAGGCACACACATGTACATTATTAGTGTAAAACAGTGTATACTCCCATTTCTAAAGAAAAAAGCAGTCATATTTTAACAACTAGGAAAATATGTATAATGTTTGTAAATGACAAAAATATACAACACATTGAAAACATCAACAGCATTATATCATTTTAAAACACAAAAGTTATTTACCTGCATCCAAAATGGCTGAAGGTTGAGGTCGATATAAAGCAGTGGATCATAACAATGTTCTCTCAAGAGACTACAACAATGAAAGTAAAAACCAAAAACAAAAGAACTTAAAAGAATTAAAAAATTATTCATATTTCTTAACCAAACTAACAAAATCACAGTCACAAATGCATGATAAGTAATCAAACTGTGCTCAATTCAGCAGGAATCTAATATGATCATTTAAACAAATCTGCACATCGCTTGAACTCTTCTTCTTTTCCTTTTCTATCTTCTTCCTGCTTCTCTACATCCTCTTGTATCCTGTGAGGTGCTTTTTGCACTTTCTGTAACTGCTGCTCGCTTTGCTCTCCATGCCTGTTCTACTTCTTGGGTCCACCATGGAGGCTGCATAAAAGCAGAGGAGTTGGCTCTGCTGCAGACCTTCTGTTGGAGGCATCCACGAAGGGTACTGTTCCTCTCATACTTAAAAACAGGCAAGCTCCGTGCAGAGTGGCAAGCATCACTTCAAAGGTCCTGGGTAGTTAGTATCCTTTGGATATGTTCTCAAGGTCATGCCAGTGTGTTGGGAAATGAACAGGCAGATATACTGGTCAGTTCTGCACCAATTAGTGGTGAACTGATGTATGACAAGCTGGATGTTGTGAGGGCACATTAAGAGCGAGTGAACAGTGCCAAGGAATAGATCATTATGGTCTGAGGAGAATGGCACTGCAAGAAGTTACAAGGGGATCTGGCCAACACTTGACACTCAGGGAAAAGGCAAGATGGATATACAATCAGACAGTTACTGGTACCATTATAATTTTAACTCTTTGCTTGCTACTGAAGATGGGGACAGAGCACTTATGGGGGTGTCCTGAGTGCTGTGATGTTGATTCTGAATTAAACATTCACATACACAAAAGTCCTGTGCATTCTCACAGCCCTGATCTTGCTAGCTTTAGAAATTAAGACTGAGCATGGCAAATGATCACTCCCATGATCGCCTATAACACTCCATTTTGTGTGCAGCACTGCTCACTGGGTAACAAAGCCAAATCAATAGCCGTGTCTGCATCACCAGGTCTCACTGCCATTCTAGTTGGCCATCTTTCTGTCTGCATAAACCAACAGGCTCTGCTAAAGCATTTCCCTGTCTATTTTCCCTAGTACTGTCTCATGATCTGTTCCGCACACTGAAATCCCCATAAATGAGAAGCCTATTACCTGGGATTTCCTCCAACTCTTTGAGCAAGTCCAAATGTTCTTTTGTGACAAGAGATTCAACAGCAACATAAACATTTACTAAATTCCAGGTTGTTTCCCCCATTATCTATCTGTATACCCTGAACCTCTAGTGTACTATAATTCCACTGGTCCAGGTCAAGAGCCACATGCTTCACCCCATTCTTCACCAGCAGACTTTGTTCATGTCTTCCCTGTCTGGTAGGATTTATATAGCTAATGTATCCAGGACATTCATATCTATCTATGTTTAATTCCTGCAACATGATGATGTCAAAGTCATAAATCAGTCTCTCCAGTACAGGTCTTCTCTGCTTGGCACTACAATTCCAGTAACCCACTCTAATATGCTTTAAACCCAGACACTCTGTTTTTTGCCTGACTCTTTGGGCCCCGGCTCTCCTATATCTATGCCTTATTCTGTCTTTATTTCCTTGTCTTTTCCTCTTCCAAGCACAAAGCATGCACTCCATAGCTCTGGCGATGATTCTTTTTATTATTTAGTACAAAATCCATATAAATATTCTTTGAATGCAGGAAGTAAACGGTCACCCTAGTATTGCCTGTCTGCTAGGGAAGAGGCAATGGATGTCCTCACGGAGTCTATACGCATGGTGGCGCTCCCACCTGCTAAGCAAACGTCCCACAATCACGACTGTCTAACCCACAGTCATTCAGCTCAGCTAATAGGCTCCATCGGAGGTTTAGTTTTTTTTTATCGAGGTTGTCTCCTCTATATCTGTTGTGTTTGTGCCTCTTCGGTCACACACAAAGGTCTTAACTGTAGAAGGGTTTTCCTGATCAAGTTATTTATGACCTAAGTGTGCCCCCTTTCACCCTATGGGTTCAAGTACTCATAGGACTAGACCAAACTCTCAAGGCAAAACAGCTGGTGTGCTCCACTATACAAAAGATCAGACATCTACAGCCCTGGATCTCTTTGATCCTTGTGTATTCAGGTGCCACAAGACATAATGCTGTGGATAAACATGATTACCAATACCACATGGCAAGGACTATTTAAAAAAAAAAAAAATGAACTATCCTCAAGTCTGTTTTTAAAAATACCTGAAACATTACTGTTATTATTATTTTTATTTGTTTTTGGCAGAATCAGATAGTAATTTCATTTTTCAGGACATTCACATGTTAAATTTAAACAATAAAAGGGAAAAGCATTATTTTTTTCTCTCTTTAAGAAACTTAGTTTTCATAGAAAACTGACCTGCAGGTCTGAGACAAATGGCACAAATCCCTCAAGTCCAGATATGATAATATCAACTGAATTATTTCTTTCTGAAACAGAAAAAAAAGGCTGATTTAATGCACAATAGTTGTATTCTGTGGCTTAAGGGTTATGAATGTAGTTTCACACTACTAACATACTGGGGTTCAAAGTCAGCTTTAGGCAATTTTATAGCAGAAAACCCAAGTTGACCTGGACAAGACTATTATTGTTTATAATTTAGCCAAACTAAAGACTATACAATTGTCTAGAAAATACCATAACAGCCAATACATTCTGCAGTCAGTTAGTGATTTCCTACAGAGGAAATCCAAATAATTATTTTTAATACAATGTTACTTTTATGTGAATAACTAATTATAAGCAAATCTCACAAGAGTAACAGGTCATTATCGCATCACAAATCAATAATTCCTACAATCTATGCTCTACAACTATTTTTTGGCTATTCTCTTGGCTTGTCTTCATCATTTCAACATAATTCCTCAAGATCGTTCATGTATTTTTATTTTAACCAAGCAATCATGAATAATTTTTACTTGAATGCTGACAAGCCAAGCTAATTTTCCTTAGCCATATGTGCGTACTCACACACACATAAGCATAGACAGACAGGAATACACGATGATTCCGCACCACATTCAATAAGCATCAAGTGTAATTTTGCTTCAATAATAAACACATTTTGGACATATTTATTCAATGACAGTAGAACATAAAACCCTTACCGGTAAATGGGTAATGAATGAACTGTCATCAGTAACTACTGACAAATCCCCTATATGATCCACCAAGGAATCAACAGACTGTCCATTTCTGTTGTCATCTTTTATTAATAAAATAATATAAAAATACACACAATAATGATTTTTAGTAAACAAAAACAATATATAGAGGAATCAAAACGATGCAAAAAGTAATTTATGCTTACTCCTAGTCTACTGATTCTCTTTTCTTCCACAAAAATGCAATACCTAAGTTTCTAATGCTGTCTACATAAGCTATGCTACAATAACTATGTTGACTTTATTAGAAAACTCAGTGTGGCTCCTGGACTTACTCCATATCCATCTTTAACCAGAACTTGCTTCTAAAAAGCTCTGAAAAGTTTGCTATCTATCACACGTAAAAATTAACTTCTTATCAAATCTAACTCTCGACAAAACTCAACCTAACCTTCCTTATCACTCTCACAAAATGTCTGCTTCCAGAATCACCTAAACCATCAACATTTCCAACTTAGATCTAGACACACAGCAGACCTTTCATGTGGTGTCCACACTTGAACAAAACCTGCAGAAACTGAAGAAAATACTCGTCAGAAGCAGGCTTTGATCCACTCAAATCTTCCTCCAAGTACTACCAAATGTGTGAGTCATAAAACGTATTGATCTATTATGTCATTCATGCCACTTTCTTTATCTTTCCACATGTGAATTCCCTAATCTATTTATTCTTTCTTCACAAAAGCAGGCATAGTAAGTGGGGAAAAAAGACTTACATCCCATGAAGTGTATTCGTATACGGTGCCAAATATAGATTTTATAGACTAGCTGACCCTTGATGGTTTATGTGGTCAATATTATGCCAGCCACCTTTCATTTTCAGAATGTTTCCTTGTAATCAGTTCTGGCTGATTTAGCTTAAGTTTTAAAATTCTCGTTTTGACGATACAATACTATCAGGCTGGGAGGCAAAAATACTAGCCACTGTGTTACTACAAGTGCCACACAATAGTATACTTGTTGTTATCTTGCAGGAAGCAAGACAGTGGATTCTGCTAATATCTTTCAGACAACTTCAATGAGCCTCTCAAACCAACATCTCCTCACTTTAGAATCTTAAATCTCCTTTGGGAAACAACTATTGTAACTGCCTTTAAATCTTGCTCTGGTGATCACACCCTTCATAATATCTTTTAAGAAATCTCCCATTCACTTTATATCTTTAAAAAGATTATCAAATAATAGTACAGTACATAGGTAGGCAGTTAGGTAGATAAGTTGTACCCCACCAGGACATCACGCAAGAAATAAACACCCGGTAACACAAAGTGCCATCATGAGGATGAGGATCACCAGTGGAGAGGTCTCGGAAACCCTGTTCAGCCGTTAGGCCATATTTAAGACCAGGCTATATTGAGGGCCCATGGCAAAAGCCTGGGTGGGGCTTCAATATAACTAAAAATTGCATCCCACAAGAGGACGATAAGTTGATTAGTTTAACAGTACAGTACATAGTCTGGTACATAGTTAAACAGTCTGTATATACAAATAAACATAATATTCTTCTTTTGTCAAAATCTGCTTGTGCCGCTAGGCGTCGCAGTCTATCAGATGATCGGCAATCGAGCCAGGGCGCGCTCAGTCGCTTCATATGCCGTGATGTTATGAAGTCTCAAGTTGTCTGTGACTGCTTCAATCCATCTTCTTCTTGGTCTTCCCCTGCCCCTTGGTGTTTCGAATTTCATGTTGTATGTTCTTGATGCTGGCATCGTTGGTTCCATTCTCACTAGGTGACCAAACCATTTCATTCTTTGCTTCTCAATAAATTTAACGATGGGTATGGTTCCAATAGTTCCTGTAATCACATCGTTTCTCACTCGATCTCTTCTGGTTTTATTCGCAGCCATTCTCAAACATCTCATTTCACAGGTGGTTAGTCTTCTCTCGTGTTCTTTTGTTAATGTCCAAGTCTGACATTGATAACCTAATGTCGGTATAAAGATTGTATTTATAATTTGTCTTTTTATCTCAGCTGGGACAGCAGGGTGTTTTAAAATTGGGGCAAGCTGGTATGCGACATTGTTGGCTTGTTGGATTCTTGCTTCGATCTCTCTGTCTATTTTACCATTGAATGTAAAGATACTTCCCAAGTATTTGAATTCTTGCACTTAAAAACATCATATTATTGGATAATATTATAGAATGTTAAGAAGTTTGACATAAATTATAAGTAATAAGGACAGAAACTGGTTATCCCACCTAAAAATGCAGTAATCCTGAATATGTTACATTTATACCTAAATCTTTTTACAACTGGGGGAGCCAGAGACGAAGATGAAGTTCAATAAAGCTGGGTCGGGATCTAAACACAAAAATAGGGACCAGTATTTTAATGCCCCCTCTCACATCAGGAGGAAAATCACGAGTTCAGCCCTCTCAAAAGAGCTCAGGCAGAAATACAATCTCAGAAGTATGCCCATCCGAAAGGATGAAGTTACTGTTGTTTGTGGACACTACAAAGAACAGCAGACAGGAAAGGTGACAAGTCTACAGAGAGAAATTAATAATCGACACTGAACAAATCAAGCGTGAGAAGGCAAACAGTGCAACTGTTCATGTTGGTATCCATTCTTCAAAGGTTGTCATTATTAAGCTGAAACTGAAGAAGGATCACAAGAAGATTCCGGAAAGAAAGGCAATGAGCAGAGTCAAGGCTCTGGCAGAGAAGGGCACGTACACAGAGGAAATGATGAAAAGCTGATTGTATTCTCTTTAATAAAGTTTTAAAACTGGGTAACAAAACAAAAATGGCAGTATCTGCCATGTGTTCACTTGTTAAAATAAGAACAGTAAAGGATGCCCTTCTAGTGCTCTCAGGCACAGTATATGGGTCTAACTGCTCTTGTTCATCTACATCAGCAGATGCTAGCATATATCTGTTGTTGCTTAAATAAGTTAAATTACAACAACAAAATACCCAAATGTTCAACAACTGTATCATTTCTATTCTTACTTTCTGGAATTTCTCTCTGCAGTTCAGCAGGTAATGTTCCATCAGCCTCATCTGAGCAGTCCAATATGACAGGCTGATGGATGCACACTTCGTCACAAGGTGGAGTTTTTGTACCTACTAACTTGATGCCATCCAGTTCAGTGTAGTAGTCCAGATATCTGTGACACAGCTCAAGCCGAATTAAGCTTCAGATATAAAATATTTGGCTTGTCAGAATAATTTCATTGCAAATTAGAATTATGAATGCTAAGTCTGACAAGAATGCTTTCAAATTTCCATGGTACTTTGCCACCTATCACTGTGTCTGTGGAATTAACCAATAACCTTCAGAGTAACCACTTGTGGCCATGGCTCGACCACAGGGATCTCTGTAAAGCTCTACTTATGAACTAAACAATTGTCTATGAAACTAACACATGACCTTTAGAGTAACCACTTGTGACCATGGCTCCCCACCACATGGATCTCTGTAAAGCTCTACTTATGAACTAAACAATGTGTCTATGAAACTAACACATGACCTTCAGAGTAACCACTTGTGACTATGGCTTGACCACTTTGTCATGACCAACCCACCCCCAAACATGTTTAATGTTTATGTAATGTTTCTCAGTACATCTGCAATAAAAACAGGTTTGCGACACTGACGTCTTTTGTCACCTCTCCTATTTTTACTGGCAACAGACTGCATTATGAAGAAAACAAGCTCTTCAAAATACTCTAATAATAATACTTTATTATCAATGAAGTATGTTATCTTTATATAACAATTTACATAATGAATATCAAGTTAAAAAACCCACACTTAAGCAGGCATTCAAATATGTATAAATAAGAATTACATACGCACAAATACATACATACATGATATTTTACACTCAAATACACAGACACACTCAAACATACAATTCATACAAATACATACATGTATGATCATACAGACATACACACATATACACACACCTATGCATACACATACAGACTCACGCCCATAAATACACACACATGCACAAACACCTACACACACAAACACACACACACTCAAACATACACAAGCACACGTGTATATATTCATACAAGCATCTACACTCATACATACACACATAAACACTCACACAAACACCTACATACTCATACATCTACATACACAACACCAGCATACATAAATACTTATGCATATAAACAGACTCATACATACACACCCAAGCATACCCACCCGTATATATCTATATATTTATGTATGTAGATATGACACATTCATACATACCCATATATACACAAACATCGCTACAGACACAAACTCACACATATTCAAGCTTGCACCCATACCTGTACAAATACACGCACCAAAACATACACACACCAATATATACCCGTGCATACACAAGCACCAATACATACACAAGCACTTGAATCAAACACAATGACCCATATTTAAACAAACAACCGTACATCCTTAAACACCTTTACACATCCATACACAGACTATGATACACCTTCAAACACTGCTACAGAAACGAACACCATGTACATACATAAATATCAAAACATGCAAATACCCAAACAGGCAAACACATATATACAACGATGCCCGAACACACATACTGATACCCATTGATGCATAAATACTTACAGACACATGCACACAAACACATATACACATACACAGGCTCACACATACACAAGGACACATATATACACATACATGCCTCCACACTCATTCAATCACATACATGAACTCACATACATGCATACACAGCAAAGCACAGAATGACTTGGTGTGCATTGGCTGATGACCTATGCTCCATCTGGAGATTAAAGCATAACAAGAAGAAGAATGTTTCTCTGAGGATATGTTTTTCCATTTTTCCTCCATCTTCATCCTTAATCTTCCCATTTCATATCCTGTGATTATTTATGGAGTCATACAACTGTTTGGACAGTAACATGGATAAAGACGGGGGAACTGACAGATATATTAAAATACAAAAGGTAAGAGAAGCTGTCAGTATTATTTTTAAGGATGTAAAGTGGCCATCTATAAACTTTCATTGTGATGCCACCACATTTATCTGATGATATGTGCTTAACACTCATGACATCCTTAACTCTTTGAGTCCCACGGAACGTATCATACGTTCATATGTTCTAAACTAGAAGCCCAATGAACGCTAGATGCGCCGATTTTACGTCTCTTTTAACTACCCCTTAGGCCTTTGATGCTAAATCCCCTGGGACTCAAAGATTTCACAACAATACTGATGGGTTAGAAGCAATGGTATGGTTTTTGTAATTTCTATCAAATCTTAAGGTTTTCACTTAAAAGCTGCTCATGAAAACAAAACTGTCTATGGCTTTTTGTTTTAAAGTTTTAACAAAATATTTTATTTATAATTAAACTAGGAGCAAAATGTTAACATAACAGATTATTACAAGTACAAAGGCAGTTAATTTGAAAACAGCATAATTATTACCAAGAGAAGAAAGTTTATGATTCTCACCAAGCTTTTGATGTCTTTTTTATATCTTTCTTAAAAATTTCAAAAATGGTTAAGTATTTTTGAATTCATTTTAAGTGATTATGTTAACTCCCTAAGCCAGTGTTTCTAAGCCAAACTTTTTTTGGTTGAGGCGCCTTTTCTCAATTAAAATCTTTCCACTGCCACCTAAACCTAAGTAAAAGTATATTCCTATCTTGGTTAAATTAATTATGAAGCTTTTACAATATTTTCCGGCGCCCCTGTGCTCCCTGGAGCGCCACTACAAACAGTTTGGGAATCACTGATCTAAGCTATAAAAATAAGATAAAATCAGACATCAAATCTGTTGATACTTACTTTGTAGCAAAATCAGTCTTTTTCAGATGTGGGGCAAAAATCCTTGGCCTCTGCCTGCAGGGTCTAGGTTTCCCAGACCACAGAGTGACCCATCTGTGAATACGGTGTAAAACTATTAGAATAACATGCAGCCATATTTTTTAGCCATAGCTGTAACCATGTGATTCCTATTTCCTCTGACCATCAGATCCCACATAAGGGATCTCTTGTGAGAAAATGCCTTCACTTCTTTAATTTTACCACATTTTCTTTCATCATCTTGGTGGTCAGAGATTTGAATCCACACCTCCCTGTGCGGCTTCTGTGGCCTCTCTTTTTAGGTGTAGAATCTCAAAAAATAAAGTGAAGGGATGTGTGTGTGTAATTCATCATTATCTCTAGAAGAAAAGCTGCAAACCACAACAATACAACCTCCCTGTTGGGGGAAAGAAGAATTCACATCAAAGACCGAAACTGTTTATAATGGACCTTGGCTCAAAGGCTGATTCCTCAACAGAAAGCAACACACAATTTTCCGTCTACGAACAAGACACTGCAGGCTCAACTACCAGACGCATAAAATTAAGATTGTACAGTCCCCAAAGTGGGCATTTCAAACAGGACCACAAACACCTGAGCACATTCTACAGACCTGCCAACTCTACATACAATGTCGAAAAGACACCTGTCCTCAAGAGCAAAGTATGCAGAGCAAGATATGGGGAACCATGAAGGACCTGCTACATGTGAGTTTATAAAGGTGACCCACCTGATGGTCTGATCTGAGCATATGAAACTGAACGCAAAGAAGAAGAAGAAGAAGAACCAGCATAAAACTAATAGTTGAAAATTTTTGGGATAATAAACACAGCTGGTGTGTTACTGACATTGTCATACATCACCTGTCAGTTCATAAAAGTAAACACTGCTGGTGTGTTACTGAAATTGTCATACATCAACTGTCAGTTCATAAAAGTTAACACAGCTGGTGTGTTACTGACATTGTCATACATCAATTGTCAGTTCACAAAAGTAAACACAGCTGGTGTGTTACTGACATTGTCATACATCAATTGTCAGTTCACAAAAGTAAACACAGCTGGTGTGTTACTGACATTTTATACATCACCTTTCAGTTCACAAAAGTAAACACAGCTCGTGTGTTACTGACATTGTCATACATCAACTGTCAGTTCATAAAAGTTAACACAGCTGGTGTGTCAATGACGTTGTCATTCATCAACTGTCAGTTCACAAAAGTAAACACAGCTCGTGTGTTACTGACATTGTCATACATCAACTGTCAGTTCATAAAAGTTAACACAGCTGGCGTGTCAATGACATTGTCATTCATCAACTGTCAGTTCCCAAAAGTAAACACAGCTGGTGTGTTAATGACACTGTAATACGTCAACTGTCAGCTCATTAAAGTAAACACTGCTAGTGTGTTACTGACAGTGTCATCTATTAACTGTCAGTTCATAAAATTAAACACAGCTGGTGTGTTACTGACATTGTCATGCATCAACTTTCAGTTCATCTAAAATTATGGAGAAATATCCAGTAAGCCTCAGGGTGGGAAAGAGAGTGTATTAATATTAGCAGTAATATACAGCTTTCATTTATATGAAAACCAGCATTTTCACATCTAATTTGAATATTACACCAATAAGCCACTCTGGTTTTCGAACAGTATAAACACCTTGCTGTTATCAGGGACATCAAGTGTTTAAATATATCACCATTCTTCAATACACTTATGCACTTAGGAACATTGATAAAAAGCAGAAGGAAAATGTGGTAAAGAAGTTAAATGTGGTACTATACAATCTTTTTTTTTTGTGTCAACTGAGGTGGGGAAGAGAGTTCTTTAGAGCCATATAGAGTTGATGTATGCAACAAATTATGGACAGTCAGTACACTGAGAAATTATAGACAGTCAGTACAGTGACAAATTAAGAACAGTCAGTACAGTGACAAAGTAAGAACAGTCAGTACAGTGACAAATTAAGAACAGTCAGTACAGTGACAAATTAAGAACAGTCAGTAAAGTGAAAAATTATGGACAGTCAGTACAGTGACAAATTAAGAACAGTCAGTAAAGTGAAAAATTATAGACAGTCAGTACAGTGACAAATTAAGAACAGTCAGTACAGTGACAAAGTAAGAACAGTCAGTACAGTGACAAATTAAGAACAGTCAGTACAGTGACAAATTAAGAACAGTCAGTAAAGTGAAAAATTATGGACAGTCAGTACAGTGACAAATTAAGAACAGTCAGTAAAGTGAACAATTATGGACAGTCAGTACAGTGACAAATTAAGAACAGTCAGTACAGTGACAAATTATGGACAGTCGGTAAAGTGACACATTTTGGACAGTCTAATGAAGATGACATAAATTCTTTTTTAATGGAAAGCATAATCACAAAAGATTGTGTATTGCATACACTGAAAATTTAAAGCAAACATCCTAAGGACAATGTTACACTAAAGTCAGATGTTTCACGTTAGGAGTAAATATTTTAATTTTCCTCAAAACAAAATCCACATTTTTCAAAAAACGAGAAAGAAAACTAACATTCTGGAATCCCAAAACTAATAATAGTCTATTTACTAACTGATACAGAGGCTTCTACTGACATGTGTCTCCAGGAACCGAACCCTGGGAAAACATCAAGGGCTACATGATAAACAGATGTGCCAAGCTTGTATTCAACCTTTATAAATATTAACAGGGTTCATAGCCAAATTTACCAATCAATTTCAAGGCTTTTCAAGGTCTTTTTCAAGGTCTCCTTAGTTTTTTTCAAGGTTGTCTCGGTGTAATACTGAAACAAGATTTTTGCCTTGTTCAAGGGTGTACTGAGCACACAAGGTACTTCATTTGTGCCACATGTGTTGGTATACCAGCACAGATATCATCATCATGTAGCATTTCCTTTGTCCTGACAAAAAAACCTCGGTCTCTCACCAGCTCTCCCGCCTCATGTACTTTTTTATACTCAAGGAGTCACTTATATCCTGTGCCCATCTTCGTGTTGGTCGGCCCCTGAGCTTGATAGTGTTTGAAATTTTTTTTTAGGGCTTGGTGGTAGAGGGCAGCAAACTGAAGTCCTGTCTGTTCTGGACCTGGTACCTGAGAGGGTTAGGGGAGAGAGAGAGAGAGTCATGAAGAGAGAGAGAGGAAGACACATGCTGAGGTAGGCTGGGAGAGACAGTGTAAAGATCGACAGATGAAGGTAGAGAAAAGAAGGAAAAGAAGTCTGGGGAAGGAGGAAAAAATGAGAGGGAGGGATGGAGACATGATGAGGAAAAGTGGGGAAGGGACAGCGAAAGACAGAGAGGGAGACAAATATAGAAAGATGGAATGCAGATACAGAGATGGGCAGATGAAAAGAGAAGGAAAAAGGGAACGAAACAGAGATATGGAAGGAGGAAAATATGACAAAGAGTTGAAAGAAGGGAGACAGAGGGAGAGAGAACGGACAGGGTGAGAAGCAGATGCAAGCAGAGAGAGATGTAGACATAAAGGAGAGAGAGACAAAGGGACAGCACAGAGAGGCAAGCAGACAGAGGGAGAGAACCAAAGAAAGAGAAAAAAGGCAGAGCAGGAGAATGGGAGGGAGGTATACAAAGAGGAAGTGATGAAGGGAGGCAAACAGACATAAAGCAAGAGAGAGAGAGAGAGAGAGAGGTGGGTAAGGAAGGCAGTGACAAACACAGATTAAGACAGAGGGGCAGGAAGGGACACAAGATACATCAAAGAAAAAAAAACAGCCACCTACTCTTCCCCCCCCCCCCACACACACACACAATTTTAAGTGTAGTGGACACAACCACTAGGAAAAGATAGTTATGGGGCAAAAAAAATATGTAGATGAACCAGTAAACAAATGGGGGGGGGGGGGGGGAATGAGAGAGGGGAGCGGGTAAGCAAATCTAGAGAAAATGAAAAGACAGGATGGAGAGGAGACAAAGAAGAGATGGGACAGGAGAAAGGGCAAGGAAAGGAAGAGAGGAAGAATGGAGAGAGAAAGGAGAATAGTAGAAGATCAAAGGAAAGAGAAGGGGTGAGAGAAGAAAGGTAAGACACGGTTGTGGGGGGGGGGGAGGGGAGTGTGTGTGTGTGTACATCACCTTTCAGTTCACAAAAGTAAACACAGCTCGTGTGTTACTGACATTGTCATACATCAACTGTCAGTTCATAAAAGAGAGGAAAAGATAGTTATGGGGCAAAAAAAATATGTAGATGAACCAGTAAACAAATGGGGGGGGGGGGGGGAGAGAGAGAATGAGAGAGGGGAGCGGGTAAGCAAATCTAGAGAAAATGAAAAGACAGGATGGAGAGGAGACAAAGAAGAGATGGGACAGGAGAAAGGGCAAGGAAAGGAAGAGAGGAAGAATGGAGAGAGAAAGGAGAATAGTAGAAGATCAAAGGAAAGAGAAGGGGTGAGAGAAGAAAGGTAAGACACGGTTGTGGGGGGGGGGGGGGGGGGGGGAGTGTGTGTGTGTGTAAGAACACTGAGTGCCAAAAATAGAATTAGGAAATCTCTAAGTGAGGCCACTTTTCCGGTTCCTAATAATAGCCAATAATCAGCTGCCCTCACACCTGAAACGACCATACAACGAAAGTAGCCAAAAACTAGCCAAATCGCCAAAAAAGCCAAATTGCTCCCCCAAAATTACCTGTGCTGAAAAACACAGGATTTCTGACGATTTCATTGCCGCGGTCAAAATTCACGGCTTTTCAAGGTCGGAATGTCTTTTATAAGCTAAAAAATCACGGTTCAAGGTCAACGAAAAAAATCCCGGTAATTTCCCGATTTCCCGGTCCACTACGAACCCTGTATTAACATACATCATTAAGGTCCAAATAATGTATGAATATCTTGGCTCCTAGGTCGACCCAGCCTTGAGTGGGTACCGGGTGCAGACCCGGGAAGTAAAGGCGGCCGACGTAATGCTGATGACATTACCCATCTTGGGCCAATTGGTCTATAAAATATAGGTCTAGCTTTATATGCCCTATACACCTAAAGGCGTGGAAAAGAGTCCTTTTCTTTTTTTAATGTATGAATATATTACTTTTATAATGCAAATTATGGAGTACAGTTCTTTCTTAAAACTGATAAATACTGAACAGCTGCACAGAAGGATGGTTACAAATGAAAACCTTAAATCTGTTAAAACAAATTTGAAAAGAGTGTCATATGAGTGGCATTACAGCACAAACAACATCTGAAAGAAAGAGTTAGAGCTTGCCCTCCCAGTCACGTTGTGTTATGCAACACAAATCAACAAACTGGTAAACATGTATTTGTGTGTGTGTGTGTGTCTGGTCTGTGGCTTAGGCATTGAGAACATGCTTCCTAATGCCAGAGTGCCAGGTTCGATCCCAACTCCAGGCGATTTGACAGCAGAACATCTTGCATTGGTTATGACAGTAGTAACAAGAGCTGACCGTTCAGGAAGCAATGGTAAACTACTGGACATAAATCTGCCTAGAAAAACTAAAACAACCAAATAATGCTTGGGTTGGTTCTGTAACATCCTGTAAAGGATACACAAATACCAATATTTTTTTTTTAATATGTGTCTGGCACTATCTTTTTCCCTCCTATCTGATGCAAAATGCATGCAGTCCACAAAGTCTCTGAACGGTTGTGTATAAAACTGAAATAACCTGAAGTACTACAAACAGAAGATGTTAGTTTCCTAGCAAGAAATGTTGCTGGAGATTAAATCTGGCTTTACTGGCACCAGTTGAAACTCAAGAGAATGAGCCAGAAAGGGTGCCAAATCTCACTGTTGAAACTGAAATAAAAATATGAGGAACCCTTGAGGTCACCGAAACAATATGGTAAATAAAGTAATACAAACTGATATGAATGCCAATCAATACAGGTCAATTTGTTGAAAATGATGATTTATTAACAGACTCCACTCATTATGTGATGACTATGATATGAAGATCAACACAGAAATGATAATCTGGCATCAGCCACCTGGTCAAAATCCTGTGTTGGAATGAGCAAGCTGGTATTTCACAGTATCACATGCCCTAAAACAGGGCTATTCAACTGGCGACCCACAGGGCAAATCTGGACCGCAAAGACCTAGAACAGTGGCACAAGGATCATTGACAATTATATTGCATCAATGATCTTTCATTGCTGAAACTGCGGCATCTGACCCATGACGATCTCCATTTTCTCAAGTGTTTGGCCTGTGAGTAAACTTAGCTGAATAGCCCTGCCCTAAAAGTTTACTGTTATCAATGTCAAATTTACAGATATTCTTATGAAGCATTTTCAACCCACAATCAAATCCATAAAGTGTAGATTTTTTCTGCTGGTGTCTTCTTTCAACAAGACAATGCTGGATCCTATATTGCCTGTGCATTGCAACCATTAAGGATATAAATTTTTTTTGCTTTTCATATCTACTTTGCATAACAGACCTAGTCCCCTAAAGATTAAAACATATCGAGATCACTCAAAAAAGAAATGGCAGAAGGAGTTTCAGCAGATGGTGAGAGCATGCAATCAAAATTATTCATTATCAGACAAATGCATGTATACTGTAAGCAAGAAAGATTCATGCCAAAAACAATGGAGAAAAGTGATACAAATGTGTCATTTTTGTTTACAAAATCTTGAAAATGAAAGTAAGATTTTTATTTTAGGGGCAGCAATGGAAGTGAATAGCCAGATGCTAGCCTGAAAATTATTGTTTCAAACCAGCATCAAGACAGAATTGTATAAATTACCTAGCCTAAAAGGGTTTCCTGGGAAGAAAAGGCAGCCGGTGGGATGTTGATCACATAACCATCATGTATTGATTCTGTTACTTGTAGTCATTGCCATGTGACATTGAAGGTTATGTCTACCCATAACCTTCTATCTGCTGTACTTTCAATCAATCTGAAACAGATTATTCTCTATGTCAAGATGCCAAACTGTCCAGCATCTTCTTTCTCTGTCTCTCTCTGTTTTTCCCCCTCCAACTTTCCAGCATGATGATGTACTCCAGTTTTCTGATATTCACATGACATGACCAAAGAATCTCTTCTTCTTGTCATCTCACTTTACCAGGTTGTAGCCCAGTGACATGGTTTTTCTGTATTTGTCCTGCACTTCCCTGTGGCTTGGGTGATGGATTTTTTCATCTTTTAGCAAGATTCTGCTACAGTATTTATCCATTTCTTTCTCAGTCTTCCCCTCACGCTCCTTCTAAATGTTCTGCTGTAAAAAGTGTCATATGCAGTTTGATCTGGCTGCATTCTGCATTAGATTAGTTGATTAGTATGTTAAAAAAACATATATGCCTAAGACTATTCGCATCAGGAACCAATGGTGTAAAAGGGTCCTTTTATTTGAAGTATCCTCTTATATATTTGCTTACGTTATTTTGCCCCTGTCTATATCACTGCCTCCATCTCTATCACAAGCAAGTATGCGGACAATAGCCCCAGGGTTGAATGTCTCATACACTTCAATTCGCACAGGAAACAGACATTCTGAGAAGGACACTTCTGAAAAGCAAGCAAATATATCATTGTGAGTTGTACATTTTCACATGTTCATCAAAATATTTCGCTCATTGCACAATTTAGCTTTCTAAGTAAGAAAAGGGTTTAAGTTAAACTACATCCAACAGAGCTATTAAATCTGGAAAGCAACAATAATTACTTTTTGACACGAATTGTTATGATCATCATCATCAGCCCGTAACACTATGTGTCACTGGGTCACTAGTTGCCGTTGACTGTCTGATCAGCTCTCTCCACCTTCGGCCGTCAGTTGCGATGGACTTCATGGTTGCATGCCTGAGGTCTGTCCAGTCAGTCAGGTTCTGTAACCAGGTCTTTCTTGGTCTGCCTCTTCTCCTCTTTCCCTCTAATGAGCCCTGCAGTATTGTTTCTAAGAGGCCGTTAGATTTTATTACATGTCCATACCATTGCATTTTTTGCCTTTTCACTGTAGTTAAAAGAGGTTTATAGTTGCCAATGTGCTGTATAATTTTATGGCAAACCTCTTCATTTATAATGTGCTCTTTGTATGACATGCCAAACATTTTTCTTAAACATCGCATTTCTAATGCTTGTAACTTTCTTTCAAGTTAGGCTGTTAAGGTCCATGTTTCACAGCCATGTGTAAATGTACTAATAGATAGTGCTCTGAGCAATCAAATCCCAATTTTGCATCCAATGTTTTTGGATCTCCATAATGTTTGCTGCTTGGCAAGGACTGATGTTGTCTGGGCAATCCTAGACATGATTTCTGGGTCTTGACCCCAGGTCACTTAAAATGGATCCTAAATATTTGAAATGAGTCAATTGTTCTAATTTGTTGCCTTTAACCTAGATTAGTGAAATTCTGCCAGCTGGATAATTAATCATTACTTCTGTTTTTTTCTGCGTTTATTTCCATACCATACTTGGTTAATATTTTATCAAGCAAGATTTACAAGCTCAACTAGCTCTTGTTCTTCCCCGGCCAACCCATCAATGACATCTGCAAACCTTAAGTTTGTTATAGTTTGACCTCCTATACTAACTGTTCCATGATGTTGTTCTAGGGCATCAGTCATAATTCTTTCTACAGTGTTGAAACAGTGTTGAATAAAGGAGGCAGCCCTGCCGGACTCCTACTGTTGTTCAGAACCAGCTTCCCATTTGTCCGTTCAGCCTGACAGCACTGCTGGCCTCGGCATAGAGATGTTCTATAGTACATATGAGGGTTTTACCCATTCCGTACTTTTTCATAGTGTTCCAGAGTGCTGCATGCCATACTCTTTCAAAGGTTTTTTTTTTGAAACCAATGAACACAGGGTATAGGTGTTTTTGGTGCTGGTGGTATTGCTCAGATAATATGTGTAGATTAAATATCTGCTCAACAGTGCTTCTTCCAGTAGGGAAACCCACTTGTTCCTCTGCTATGATCTTTTCTGTGTGTGGCTTTAATCTGTTTAGGAGTATCTTGAGCAGCATGACTTTACTGGGATGTCTGATGAGACGTACTGTCCTATAATTCTGACACTGTTGTAAATTCCCCTGTTTTGGGGAAGGTAATCATGAGTGATTTGGACCAAAGAGATGGTCATTCACCAAACTCCCAAGTTTTGTTACAGATTTCAGTGAGGATGTTGATGATGTCCTCTCCCCCCACCATAAGGATCTCAGCTGGAATATTAGTGTTTAACTCTTTGAGTCCCAAGGACTCATATACTCATAGGTTGCTGCCTAGAAGCCTAATGAATGCAAGATGCACTGATTTTATCTCTCTCTTTACTACCCCTTGGGCCAGTGATGCTAAACTCTCTGGAACTCAAAGAGTTAATGATAAGTAGGGATTCTCATCAGAGTACATCTGGACAAATTCATATTTGCCATAATCTCCTCCTCAATAGGTTAACAAGCATAAGATGAATTATCACCTCCATTCTGTGCTGATGAACCAAATGTTTCCTGCTCTTAACGTTCATGTGCGGCTGTGCCAGGTACTCCCATATCCACCAGTCTGGACAGAGATCAAGAGTTATGCTTACTGTTGTATTCGTCACTGCAATATCACCCCATATCATCTTTCTTTATTTTAACCTTTTATTTCTCTCATTCTTTTCAATTTTTTTCCGTTTTAATTTCTTTGCGTTTGCAGGTTTGAGTGCAAGAACATTCTAGTTAATTTTTATAGTTTTCTAAATATGTACCTAAGATCTTGATTCTCTGGAATTTGTTTGGTTTTCTCCCAAAGAACTATCATAAGTTTTCCCTCTATTCTGCACAGGCACAGTTAATGAATGTCTGAACAGCTCTAATGCAAGAACATTCTAGTTAATTTTTATAGTTTTCTAAATATGTACCTAAGATCTTGATTCTCTAGAATTTGTTTGGTTTTCTCCCAAAGAACTATCATAAGTTTCTCCTCTATTCTGCACAGGCACAGTTAATGAATGTCTGAACAGCTCTAATGCAAAGCAATGTACAGAATAAAATTAACTTTTTTTTTTCAACATCTGAAAGAATGTGTTATATGAGCTAAAGTATAAAATAAAGGACAAAAATAAACAGCACTTACCTATAAAATCTTCACTTGTGAAATCAGAGGGTGTTCTTTGATAGCGTTTTCTACCAGAAGGAGCTAGCTGCCACCAGGGACCATATGTTCTCTTGACACAATTTCATATAAATTAGATTTCATAAACAGAAAATATTTATAATTCAATTAATGCTTACTACACAGAATTAAATATTTGTGTACCACTTACAAATATTCTGCTTACCACATAGAAATAAATCTTCAAATAATGCCATCAACAATGGTGTGTGCATTTATAGATATATCCTCTATTTTATCATTTGCCTTATTTCCAACAGTTCAATCCCTGGCACCACCAACAACACTCTGAGAAAGGTTTGTTTAGATCTGATGATACACTTTTTTCCTTTTCTTTAGTTAGTTAGTTTGGTTATCATCACTGCACTCCGGATATGTCCACAGGTGCTCAGATTCTCCCCTCAGTATGAACCCCAGTACCAGTTCTATGTTGATTATTAAGTCCTCTGATGTGCCTGGTGTGTGTCTCATTTTTGCTTTACCCATCTTAACTCCCAAGTCTATCATTCTATTGAGTGATGTAGATTCACTGCCTTCAAAGTCCTCCACCCGTTCCATTTCTTGGAGGGCATTAACAACATCAGGGTGACCCATGGGTTGACCAATACACTATCCTACCTCATCTCATCTTGATCCACTAGTACCTAGTGGTGATGAGATAAACCATAAATAGTGGGAAAATATTACTCTGTATGCTTCATATCTGGGAATTCCCAGGCACTCGCTTATTCATCTTTTTATCATTTGCATGGTCAACCTCTCTTCTGACACCTACTTAGTCTGTATATCATTTCTCATTGTCGTGTACTGTCTATTGGCAGCAAAGTGTAATGGCCAAACCATTTCATCTTGTATGTCAAATGTTGAATTAGGAATTGACATCATAGCACTCTGGACATCCCCATAAGAGCTCCATCAACACCTTAAGCAGCAAAGGAAGAGATCCTATTCCGATGGCACCAGTAACTGTCTGACTGTATATCTGTCTCACCGTTCCCTTTAGTGCTCAGCGTCAGCCAGATCCCCTGGTAACTCCTCGCAGCACCAATCTCCTCAAACCATTATGATCTCTTTGCGCTTCTGCACTGTTCACTCGCTCCCAGAGCGACCTTACAACGTCTAGCTTGTCTTACATCAGTTCACCACCAAGTGGTGCAGAAACGGTCAGTCCATCTGCCTGCTCCGACACACCGGCATAACCTGGAGAAAATATCCAAAGGGTACTAACTAACCGGGACCTCTGAAGTTAAAAACATTTCCATCTGTTGCTTTCTAATGAAATCTAACACTGCTAATATGCCGACATTTTTCTTCTTTACATTTCCTCATTTATGATCTTCTTTCTGTTCAAAATGTAGTGATCTCAGGAATCTCATCTCAGTTGTAATTTTTCTTTTCACTTTTTTTTTAAAAAACTTTGTGTTGTTATTCATTCCTGGCTCCGAGCATGTATCATCTTCTTGGATATCTTCTTTTACAGGGTTATTTATCTGGATTTGGCACCCAGAGGCCTAGAGAGTAACCTGCAGATCAATATCAACTGTATTGAATTAATGAGCTTTCTATGCTGAGGTTTAGGCCTCTGGCCCGTGACGATGACCATTTTCAACACTTTGGCCCCTGACTAAACTCAGCTAAACAGCCCTGCTCTGTCTTGCTAGCTTGTTACCAATATAAGGGATGTCTCATGTATTTTATTATTCTTAAAAAAGTCCTAAATCTTTGGTCAACTCATTTACTGACTTGACTGAGATAAAGCCAGCCATGTACCACATTATGCTGATTAGGGTAACAGTGCAGCTGTCACAAACAGTCACAGTAATGGTTCACAGCCAATAGCTCAGAAGGTGGTATTCATTGATGTGTTGAGTTCAGAAGTGACATCATAGCACTTGGGATATTTCCCTAAGTATGTAATTCTCGTCTTCCGCAGCCAGGGCTGAGTTCTGATTCTGATGGTACCAGCAGCGGTTTGAATGTATATCTTTCCTCTGAGTGTTGAGTGTCGACCAGATCCCCTGAGTGTTGAGTGTCGACCAGATCCCCTGAGTGTTGAGTGTTGACCAGAACCCCTGAGTGTTGAGTGTCGACCAGATCCCCTGAGTGTCGATTGTTGACCAGATCCCTTGAGTGTTGAGTGTTGACCAGATCCCTTGAGTGTTGAGTGTTGACCAGATCCCCTGAGTGTTGAGTGTTGACCAGATCCCCTGAGTGTTGAGTGTCAACCAGATCCCCTGAGTGTTGAGTGTCGACCAGATCCCCTGAGTGTTGATTGTTGACCAGATCCCTTGAGTGTTGAGTGTCGACCAGATCCCCTGAGTGTTGAGTGTGGACCAGATCCACCGAGTGTTGAGTGTGGACCAGATCCCCTGGCCTATTCCCACTGCACAGGCTGTAATGATGTAGTTGTGCCTCTGCACTTTTTATTTTCCTCTTCACCCTCTCTCAGCTGCCCATGTTTCTTGATGAGCCTATGACACAAATCTGCAAACTAGTCAAATGTATTCAGCTAAATTTTATCATTTTTTATGATTTTGTGAGCAATTTTATTTAAGCCTCTTCTTTTTCTTCACGTACACCAGCTGTAAACTCTGGCGGAAGTTCTAGTTGTTCATCCACTCATGAACTCTACTTCTATTCCAGAACTTGAGTTTTGCAAACAAATTTATTTCACAGATTTTGCTTGTCTGTATGTAGACTGTTTGTTCCTTGTCTTTCAGGCAGATGCACTCTGACTTTGAAGGAAACATTCCCCAATTAGTTGCCTTTTTCATCATGCTTGTTAGGGGAGCAATGGGTCTATTCACTATCCACCAACAACTGAGTCCTGGAACTCATACAGGGAAACATGCCATTTGTGAACTCCCAACTGAAAAAAATTGTGATGATGAAGTTTTACTGGTTGATTGATGAAAAACTGAAACATGTCATTTTATTTTTAGAGGCTGACACGCTGGGACACCATTGTGAACTACAATAAAAATGTTCAGCTAGAATGGCACACCTGTGTGCTAAGTACTAAGCCTCAGTTGGGAGGATTTGATGCTAACCGAAGGTCAGTCATTGTTGAAGTTGACGAGAGCTACTTTTTCCGCCTAAGTACCAGCGTGGTCATGTTCGCTGCAGTCAATGGGTTGCTGGCCTAGTAAAGCGGGATACTGGTCGCTGTTGGTGTGAAGTTGTCAAAAGGCGAGATGTGAAGACATTGAAAAACATTATAAGTGATGATGTTTTACCTGGAACGACAACTTTCACTGGCAAGGCTTCCGCAACGTCGGTCAACTAAACCATGGCATCTATGATCATGTGGTTGTTGTTCATGCTACTAATTTTGTTGACAGCGTACACAATGAAATGCACATCCATAACCCAGGGTTATGGATGCAACTCAAACGGAAACAGTGTTACCAAGGCGGGTCTAGTGGCGTGTTGTTATCTACATATTTAGCGGCGTTTTAGTAGCAGCACAGTCACAACGATCACGTTTTCTGACAGTTTTTACAACTTGATTGCCACAATTTCAAGATATAATGGTTACTTATTATTGGTAAGTATGTTCACGTCCTCATTTTTATATTTTACTTCCTACTTTCTAGCTATATTAGATGACCTACAGGATATAATTGAGGCCCTGTAAGGGTAGGTTTTTGACCTAATAATAAAAACACAAATTGCTAGCTACTTTCTTCGACCTGACCAAAGCCTTTGATAAGGTCTGGAAGAAAGGACTCTTGCTAAAACTAACGCACAGTGGGATAAAAGTGCATATGTTTGCTGGATTAGAGACTTTCTTTACAAACGCTGTGTGAGAGTCAGACTAGAAGAGCACAAGAGCAAGCTGGTCAGGTTACAAGAAGGTGTCCTCCAGGGAGGTGTTTAATCTCCTACCCTGATTATCCTTTTAATCAATGACCACCCAAAACAGTTCACAAGTCACATTCACAAGGCCCTACATGCAGATAACCTGGCCACCCAAGCTGAACATATAGGAACAACTGAAACAAAAATGCAGGAAGCTATAAATACAGTTAAGAAATGGACAGACTCTTGGGGAGTCACAATAAACCAGACCAAAACCACCTCAACTCTCTTCTTTCTTTCCACAAAGCCACAACAAGTTGAAAGATACCTAGAAGGCAACATCCTTCCAAAAGATGATAACCCCCAAACATTTGAGAGTAAAATTTGAAATAGACTAACCAGGGGCAACAACAGTGAAGACACCCAAAGAAAATCTACCCTGCTGCTCAGACCTATAAAGAAACTTACTGTAACAATCTGGGGTGCAGATGCCAACAGTGTACAACAAGTATATACAGGATATCTACGACCAAAAATGGAGTATGGCACTTTAGCATGCTCCACTGCAGCCAAACTAAACCTACACAAACTGGACTGGTCTCAGAATCAACACTAGAGATATGAGAACCACACCAATCCATGAGCTGGAGGTAACTTCTGGCCTCCAGAGCTTGAACCTTCAAAGGGAAGATGAGGTGCTTACAATAACAGAAAAAATGTACGCATGAACAACAATCCCATGCACAGAATAGCAAATAACTTAACTAAAAAGCGACTGAAAAAACATAGCTTTCACCATCTATCAAAACTGTACTGTACTAAAAAACAGTGACATCCTTTCTGAACATCCTTCACCATGGAAAAACATGCAGGAATACTGCATAGACCTACAGCCTAACTGTACAGTCACAAAAACAATTTCAGGCAGAAACAAAAAGGCTGAAGAAAGTGACCTAGTATTGCATGCAAAGACCCTTGAACATGTCTACAACTGTTATCCAAAACCAGAATGGACACAATGGATCGTTGGAGGGAGCAACAACAAAAAACAGAGGAGCTTGGTCAGTCATCAAGCTGCAAGATGCGACCACAGTAGAAACATCATGCGGCTCCGGAAAACTTTCAACAAATTTCACAGCAGAGCAGCGAGCAATTATTTATTCAGACAAAGTGCTAGAGGGAAAAAATTAAAAACAGCAAAATTGTTTTTTTTGTGTATGACTGCATGTCAGTCAGCCAGGCGACTCAGAGGGTCCATGAGACAACATGGAGAGATAACTGACCCGCCAGCTAAACAGACTTGCAGAAAACAATCAAATCGTTTTCCGGTGGATCCCGGCTCACTGCGGCATACCAGGAAATGAGTTAGCAGACAGATTTGCTAACAACAGAACAAAGGAGAAACAACACACCCATCTTTTGCCATTACCAGAAATCAGAACATTTATCAAGGGAAAATACAAGGAATTGTGGAGAGAACAAACTAACAGTAAACATCCACAAGACCCCATTAGCAGACTCAACAGAAAGCAACACACAACAATTTTCCGTCTACGAACAGGACACTGCAGGCTCAACTACCACATGCATTTAATAAAGATTGTACAGTTCTCACAGTGTGCCTGTCAAACAGGACCACAAACACCCGAGCACATTCTGCAGACCTGCTCACTCTACGTACAACTTCGAAAAGACACTTGGTCTCAAAAGCAAAGTACTGTGCAGAGCAAGCAATGGGGAACCAACCATATAGGTATAGGACCTGCTGCTGACATGCGAGTTCATAGATTCATAGAGGCAACCCACCTGACTGATGGTCTGATCTGAGCATAACCGAAGGAAGAGAAGAAGAAGACCTAACAATGGGGCCGTTATTCGGAAGAGTGCCCTTTTACAATATTTATAGCCGTTATACTTTCCAATAATGGTGAAGTGGTAGAAAGTCTACAAGAACCAACATAACTTACAAATACACACGCCTGGGTGTAATCTCCGTAGGAAGGAAAAACGCTGGCTTTCCCTGCAAGATTATGAGCGACGTATGAAATGCTACATTCGCTTCCATATTGAGAACTAAAGTCTGTGACTTCCTGGCCCTCAAGCCGAATAAGACAGTCGCCAATCGGCGAAACGTCGCCTGTGTTTTTCTGCACCTGTCTGTAATACTCTGATGAATTCAAGATAAGTGATTGGAAAGCTGAATATTCTTCGGGGCTGGTCGCCATGTTTACAAAACACTGAAGGTTAAAGGTTATTTGCGCCAATTTACGGCAACAGTCGTTGACTTTCTTCTTCTTCATCATCATCAGCATCATGATTACCAGCAACTGCATAATAATCTTGCCCGCGTTGAATTGTATGGCAGTCGTCATGTCAAACAAACCGCAAGCGGTCCTTTGTGTCACACTTGCGGCCCACAGTAAATTGTGTGTTGTATCAAAGGACTTCAATTAGTCGGCCTGCTGCACTAATGGGTTTCAGGGCCAAAAAGAGCAACCAATAGGTTTTGAAAGAGGCGGGAGCCCGAAGACAACTTATTACAGACATCAAAAGGAGACAGTCATCATTTTTCGGCCATGTTTTGAGAAGAGGGAAAATAGAACATGTTGTGATCACTGGAAAGATATGTGGAAGGAGAGATAGAGGAAGACAACGAGAGAAGATGCTTGACATGGAGGTGTGTCGGCACACGAACTGATACATGCTGCAGGAGATCGAAGATTATGGAGAGGCATGAAAGCCCATGCCAGTCGGCAAGGCACCTGATGATGATGATTGTGAGGAAAACAAGAATAGACCCACTGCCTCCCCTAGCACACGAATGTCATACAAGCCGACAAAGTAGCCCTTTCCGAGCGGCGAGGAGCAACCAGCTGCACACAAAAAGCCAGGAAAACGGATGTACTCGCAAAATTCAAGCCCTGGCCAAAGTCCAGATGGACGAACAGCCAGGACTTACAACCGGTGACAAAAGAAGAAGTTGTCATGTCCTTATGACTAAACAAATATGACTCATATGACCCTCGGGGGCTCCTCAGTTTGACATGCCTGCTGTACAGTATACCAGACTAGTACTCGGTACAGACGTTATAGGCAGGTGCGCCTTGGGGGAGGGGAGGAGGACTGCGAGGTTGGGGGTGGGGGGTAAGCGAACTACCTAACCATACAGAGAAAAGTTCTATTTTTTAAGTATTTATTAATTACTTTCATGTGTGTTTTTCAGTTAGATAATTGCATTTATTGGCCATCAAATAACAATAAATGATGAAGAAATTGAAAACGTCACAAACTTTGAATATCTAGGCTCTATGATAAACAGCAATAGAGACTGTTTGACATTAATAAGAGCAGGATGGCCATAGCAATGCAAAGATTGAACAGCCTTAAAAGTCTATGGTTAAGCACCAGCAAGGAGATCAAAATTATAATTTTGAGAGCATGCATCTTATATGTGGCTACATACGGATTTGAGTCGGGGACTATATCTCAGTCCTTAAGAAAGAGAATAGGGGCTTTCGAGTTGAAATGTTATAGAAAGATTCTCAGAATATCTTGGACAAAGAAGAGGAGAAATACTGACATCTTGAAAGATCTGAACATCAAGATAGATTGACTAATAAACAGCATCATGTCTCGAAAGCTGAAATATTTTGGTCATATCAAGCCCCACGACGGATTGGAAAAATTATAGCGGAAGGCATGGTAACAGGAAGGAGGGGCAGGGGCCGACTGACACGAAGATGGGCACATGATGTAAGTGACTCCTTGAGTGTGAAAATACATGAGGCGGGAGAGCTAGCGAGAGAATGAGTCTCTTTCAGGCAGACTGTGATGAGAGCGACGCTCTGCAAAGGACCTGCTACGTGATGATGATGAGCCATCCAGCACACATTCTGATAACATCTATTACGTTTTTAAAGGGCACGTATACTCCCTGACCCCCTCCCCCTTTTAAGGTAAGTTGTAAGGCGGCTGAAACACCTTAAAATTACCCCCCCCCCCCCAAGTAGGGCGCTCGAATAAATCTTCGAGCGGGGTGGAGGTCCCTTAGACCAGGGGCAGGAGGGTTACAATGGCTTGATTATTATTATTATTATTATTAATATTATTATGCGCTGGATTTAAATTAAATTTAAAAATACATTTTGAGTAATATGAAACGTAAAAACAAATACTTGAAAAGAAAACGTCTATGCGTGAATTAGGGGTGGAGGGGGTAGGGGGCGCCATGAAGTGCTTAACGCGCCAATTGCTGCGCCTGTGCCTCCTCCCTTCTCTGTTTGTTTTTTTCCTTTAGTGTTTTCTTTGTATCTGTGCCCTGGTTAAAAGTCACTTGGTAATCTCTGTGGGGATTAAACGGGGTATTTTTGGATTTGACATACTGTATTGTCCTCCTGGATGCTACTCTTTGAGTCACAGTGGTGACCAAACCGTCAGGGGTAAGCTGCAGTCCATAGAGGAAACAATCGCCAGCCAACTCGGTGATACATTAAGTTCACAAATATTCACCAGCATTCATAACTGTAACAGGGGTGTCGGAAAGGGTGGAAGAGAGAGAAAGAGAGAGAGAGAGAGAGAGAGAGAGAGAGAGAGAGAGAGAGAGAGAGAGAGAGAGAGAGAGAGAGAAAACATGGAGTGAATGATCTATTGTTTCCTTAGTTCGCAGAGTCCATGCTGCAGTGTATGTACAGTTGGTACTTTCTGACACCTCTCCTAAAAAAGTTATGTCACCTTCATCGTTGCCTTCTTTTATATATTCTTTGGTAACACACAGCAGCAGACACGAAATAGTTGTTGTCGAATTACATTAACGAGGGCAATTTGGGGGGGGGGGGGGGAATTATCTTTAGGGATCGTCTTGAATTCTAAGACGTTCGTGGTTTGTGCTACTCTCTCGGCAGTTGAATATTTATTATGTGAATTAACGGTAAGCAATTTCGTAAATTTCTTCTTAATTAGATAGATTACCGCAATTTGTCGTGTATATTTGAATTCTGCGTTAATTTTTAAATAAGTATGGGAAATTTCACAAAGATTGGCAATAGCGCAAATGTTTAAAAAAAAAATTGTTTAGTGGCATCACTGTTTTCGCTTTAAATCCAATAACGGTAAGTAATTTCGTAAATATCTTCTTAATTAGCCAGATTACCGCAATTTGTGGTATATTTTTTAATTCTGCGTTAATTTTTATACAAGTATGGGAAATTTCACAAAGATTGGCAATAGCGCAAAAGTTTAAAAAAAATGTTTAGTGGCATCACTGTTTTCGCTTTAAATCCAATAACGGTAAGTAATTTCGCAAATATCTTTCTTATTAGCCAGATTACCGCAATTTTTAGTGTATTTTTTAATTCTGCTTTAATTTTCATATAAGTATGGCAAATTTCACAAAGATTGGCAATAGCGCAGATGTTTAAAAAAATTTTTTAGTGGCATCACTGTTTTTTGCTTTAAATCCAATATATTTGCACTAGGAGACCGTTTTTCCCGCTTTAAAAATAACTGAAAATAATGATTAAATTAGCTAACGTTATTTTAATCATTTTTGTTAAAAATCAACAACCATTGTAGCATTTTTTCATGCATCTGTCATTATTTAGAGCTCTGCGAATTTTCTGATGGATATATTTTTTCCTTCACTAGCATCCCCACTTGCTGTGAAGTGTACCGGTAAAATACGGGAAAATATCTGAAGTCACATTATCGAAACTAACCGGAAGCTGTTACATCGAAGGTCAAAATGGCTAGTTACACCCAAGACCTTCCTCCGAAAAATGGATTCGAGAAAATTCAATGGCAGGCGCAAAATCCGACGAGATTAATGCGAGGTACAAAATATATAACTTAACATTATTTACTATCCATGATAATTTATTTGAGTACTTACGAGTACTTTACTACTTGTAACTTTACAAAAACCAGCCTTGCTTGTGTTCGCCGAAGAACGTGCAGCATTTGCATTTAGTATTTAGTTTAGTTAGTATACTATTTATTACTGTATTACTTAGCTATCTATGGATGTTGATGGTAATTCAGTCATGATAGATGATGATTTCTTCCTACTTCAATATTCCCGTTGTCAGGCTTTTCACCTCTTGAAATTTACAATTGTCTTTGCACTAATTCTGGCATTTCTTCTATCTTCTATCATTATTAGCAGTATCAGTAGTATAAGTAAAGTATAATGAGTAGTCTACTACAACTGATCAGTGTACTGTTTCTCAAACTTGTTGACTCTCCATTGAACTTCGCCCCCATATTATGGCGGCTAAACAAATACCCTTACAGGACCTCAGTCGTGTGTAAAATGCGGAGTGCCTGCCGAGGAACAATTCGCGGGAAAACTAGGATTGCCTCCGAATAACTGGCCAATATTAATTATTGAGGCCAAACAAGCTCTAAGGGTCTCAGCGATATGATATGTTAATTGCGGACCTGTTTCTGTGACTATAGCACCGCCAGTAGTATCCCCCACTAGGCCAACAGTATCCCCCGCTACGCGCAGCGTGGTTTAGGGAGGGGGGCTAAACTAGATGGCTGGGACTCACGAGCAAATAAATTGGAGGAAGTTGCAGGAGATGCGGTAGCTGCTGCTCGTGAGTCCCAGCCATCTAGTTAGGCCACACATATGCGCCACGTTTAGCAGCGCAGGGGATGTGCTCGCCGGTGAGTTTAATCGGAAGAACACTATCACTCACCTGCGTCGGAGCCCGGTGTCTCCACGCCATGTCGTTATTATTGTGTGTATTGTTGCGTTTCTCAAAATTGTCACCGGACAGTTATCCTAGTTTTACAGCTATGAGTTCGTCAGAGGAAGTCCGCATTTTAGACATGACTGAGGCCCTGTTAGGGTATTGGCTCTCCTTGCAATAACGGTCGCTAGTTGGACGGCGATGGCCGCTTAGTCGGGAGTTCAGTCCCCTCGCTTGAGTGTAATTACGGGGTGGAAAAGAGGGAACGAAACAAATGACATAATTAGGGGTAGGGTTTGGGTTAGGGTAACACATGTAACGTCGAGTACTTACCCATAATGACGACCGCTATATCTTTGTTTTGTGATTCGTGCCTTGTCCACTCCGTAATTGCACTGCAGCCAGGGGACTGAACTCTGACTAAGCGGCCGTCCAAGTAGCGACCATTATTGCAAGGAGAACCAGGTATTTGTTTGGTGGACTTTTACGACTTGCTTTTGGGTAGGCAGGGGGTCTATTCTTGTTTTTCCTTTAAAACTGCCCTGGAACCCTCACGGGGAGAATCATTGCGTTCAGGTGCCCAACTTACAAATTATTGACTTACTGATCTCACAGAAAAATTCATAAATATTTAAAGGTAGGTAAGATGATTGAATTCATCCTATTTGGTTTTATTATTACCTGATCTCTCTCAGCCTAATGGCTGGCTGGCTGACTGTTGACAGTGCTGCACAAAGCATGAACGTTGTAGCTCCCATGACTGTCCCCGGTGATATCTGTAAACACTGCACGCATGAAATGAGCAATACAATCCTGAAATAAACTCAGCAACCTTCAGACATTGAGGCAAACTACTGCAAGGCAAATTTTTTAACTCTTGAGACTTCTCACAAAGAAAATTGTTTTCAGTGCATCCTACTTTTATGTATACATTTTTATTGCAATTTTTTTCCAGGATATACACAGTTTGCCCTTTTTGCTGCATTCACTCTTTGCGGATGGGTTGGCTTTGCATTTTGGAGGAAACGTCAAAGGTAATTTAATGTATATATTTACATTTCAAGTGTGTGTTTGTATTTTTTTTATTAAACTAAGGGCACATCATACTGCAAAGGAGGAAGGAGATTTGACCAAACCTGACTTAAGTAAAAATCAAACAATCCTCTTCATGTTATTGGCATAAAAGACATGGCGATAGACCACTTTTAAAAGACCACTTGGCGCTCTGTGCTTGATTTGACGTCACATCAGCCACGTTTACTTCCTGGGGCATTTTCTTGTACCCATTTTAGGCTGGCTTGACCTAGAATAACTTCAGTAAAGAAACGGTTAGGTCATGAATGTATGAGTATAAAGCTTTTTACCCTTATGACCTAGAGAAAACCCAAAGCCAGTAACCCAATGAAAAAATCATTTAAAAAACAAAATTTTCTCAGGTCTCAAACAAATTTAGCAAGGCCATTTATGGACCAAAACAATATTAATTTCCATAAACAATATGAGAAGTAATCAGTAAATGTAGCAGAAAATTAACTGACGCAGACTATTACATAAAATGTATGCAGTGACTGACACTTGACCACCTGAGCCAGTCATGTGAGAAGTGATCTGACATTACAATTTCTATTTCAAAAACTTTTTTTTTTGAAGCTTTCCTGATCCTAAAGCAAGGGCTCCCATGCATTGCAGTCTCTCACAACCTTGCGTCACATATATAAATTGACCATAATGAAATAAAATTAGTAGCATTTGTCTTGAAAACTAGAAACAGCCAACATTTTTAATGTCATTTTCAGTACACCAAAATTAATTAAGATTAGCTTTCTTCATTAGTGGTACATTCTGTTTGTTGACTAGTGTTATAAGAAGCCAGCTATTATAGATCTGTTGCTTAGTAAAGAGGAAAGCCACAAAGTATATCACATTTTTATTTGGTAGAATCAGTTGTTTCGTGGAGGACACATGCCAGTCACCCGACTGCTAAATCCTTGTTAAGAGACATTCATGTTTAAACTTTAAGGGACAAATGAAAATTGTTTAGTTGCATGAAAGTAATACCTCATTTTGACCTATGTGGAGTAGGAATTCACCATGTGTGCCTTTGACATATTGTTAAGGGGCAAATAACAGCTTAGAAAATGCAGTCAGGTGAGAATCTCCAGAACTGTACTTAGATGACTCTGGTGTAATGCCAATGAATTTCTATGGTTGTGATTGAGATCTATTGTTGGCTGCCGTTGAATATTGCAACATTCTTTACATTATCTTAGGATGCAACAGTTTGAATAAAAAAGCTGTCATGTGTGGCATTCAGATCCTCTAGTTAGAACCCGAAAACTTGTGCTAGAATTCTGAAGTAGAGTCTGTAATCTCTTTCATAATCTCTCTAGATTTCTGTCTGTATGTCTCTCTTTCTGTCTCTCTCCATATCTCTCTCTCTGTCTTTCCGTCTTTTCCTCTCTATCTGCCACTTTCACCCTTTCCTTTTATTAAATGTTTTGCACTTTTTTCTTCATTTTTCACCTCTAAAAGGCAGTCACATAATGATACAGCTAGCTGTTGTATCAGCACTTCCAATTTTAACCAACCCCTAATTAGTTGCCTTTTATAGCATGCATGTGAGCCTGTTCTTTTTCACCCTAAAATGGATCAGGGAAGCCACACAGGGAGGTTGTTCTATAACATTAGTATTAAGAAATTTGAGTATTCTCTGTTTAAAACCAAAAAAACCTTCCCCCTCCTCCCTTTTTGTTGCATATAGTAATTCATGTCTGTTGCTTGTGAGATTTGACTAACTAGTTGCTTTATATGTTCCCACCATGAGAGTTTGTCCATCATCACTTTTTTTTTTAAATACTCGAAGTAGCAGTATATTACCTCATCATTAATCGTGATTGTGTTTTCTGTGTGTTTGTCTACAGGAGATACAATCTGGAGATGATGGATGCCAGAGTTGCAATAGAGCCGTTTCTTTTAGCTGAAAAGGACAGAGCGTAAGTTTGCTTTTTGTGTGTACATTTTGTTTTTAATGTGTGTGGTAAACTTGACTGTTAAATAAGTAGTATATGGCAGCCTCTGATAGTTACAGCAATGATGTTTAGATGCCAGAGCTACATTGAAGGACATCTGGGTTACATTTTCTAGGTGGCAGCCAAGTAGATCTTCAAGAGGGTAGTCAAGTAAAGGATCAAGAGGGCAGTCAGACAGTATATCGAGAGGGCAGTCAGACAGTATATCGAGAGGGCAGTCAGACAGTATATCGAGAGGGCAGTCAGACAGTATATCGAGAGGGCAGTCAGACAGTATATCGAGAGGGCAGTCAGACAGTATATCGAGAGGGCAGTCAGACAGTATATCGAGAGGGCAGTCAGACAGTATATCGAGAGGGCAGTCAGACAGTAGGGGCAACTAAGTCTTAGATTGTCAAAGGGTAGCCAAGTGGTAGATTATCAAAGATTAAGCTAAATGGTAGATCAAAGTGTAGTCAAGAGGTAGATTATAAATTATTACAGGGTAAGCTATAGGGTAACAAAGTGGTAGATTATCTGAGGGTAGCCAAGTAGTAGATTATAAATTTGATTGATTAAAGAGCAGCCAAACATGGTAGATCATCAGCAAAGCAACCAAATAGAGGATCATAATGGAAGCACTAAATCAAACTGTTGAAGCAGCTTGGTTGGTGATTCATCAAGAAATCAATAGATGACCTCAAGAGGTCAGCCAAGTGGTAGATATTGAGTGATGTTCTAATGCTTGTGATAGAACAAGCAGGTGATTGCCTAATAATTTAAAGGATTGGAAAACTTGCCCTATTGTAGGTATTGTGGATATATTAAAGACACACACTGTAAAACTGACCATTTCATTCGTGGTCTTTGTTCGCAGTGGCTGTAAAACTGACCACTTCATTCGTGGCCTCTGTTTGCAGTGGCTGTAAAACTGACCATTTCATTCGTGGTCTTTGTTCGCAGTGGCTTTAAAACTGACCACTTCATTCGTGGTCTTTGTTCGCAGTGGCTGTAAAACTGACCACTTCATTCGTGGCCTCTGTTTGCAGTGGCTGTAAAACTGACCACTTCATTCGTGGCCTCTGTTTGCAGTGGCTATGAAACTGACCTCTTCATTCGTGGTCTTTGTTTGCAGTGGCTGTAAAACTGACCACTTCATTCGTGGTCTTTGTTCGCTGTGGCTGTAAAACTGACCACTTCATTCGTGGCCTTTTTTGCAGTGGCTGTAAAACTGACCACTTCATTCGTGGCCTTTGTTTGCAGTGGCTGTAAAACTGACCACTTCATTCGTGGCCTTTGTTTGCAGTGGCTGTAAAACTGACCACTTCATTTGTGGTCTTTGTTCGCATTGGCTGTAAAACTGACCACTTCATTTGTGGCCTTTGTTTGCAGTGGCTGTACAACTGACCACTTCATTTGTGGCCTTTGTTTGCAGTGGCTGTAAAACTGACCACTTCATTCGTGGTCTTTGTTTGCAGTGGCTATCATGCTTGCTTACTGGCCTTAGATTAAAATTCAATTTTGGGGCAGATTGTTTAAATTGACCTAGACTCCCAGGTCAACCCAGCTTAAAATGAAGAGGAGGAAATGCTTCAGAAAGTAAATATGGTTGCATGATATTATCACATCACCTGCCAGATAATCAGAGAAGTTAAGATGGTTGGCATGATATTATCACATCACCTGCCAGATAATCAGAGAAGTTAAGATGGTTGGCATGATATTATCACATCACCTGCCAGATAATCAGAGAAGTTAAGATGGTTGGCATGATATTATCACATCACCTGCCAGATAATCAGAGAAGTTAAGATGGTTGGCATGATTTTATCACATCACCTGTCAGATAATCAGAGAAGTTAAGATGGTTGGCATGATATTATCACATCACCTGCCAGATAATCAGAGAAGTTAAGATGGTTGGCATGATATTATCACATCACCTGCCAGATAATCAGAGAAGTTAAGATGGTTGGCATGATATTATCACATCACCTGCCAGATAATCAGAGAAGTTAAGATGGTTGGCATGATTTTATCACATCACCTGTCAGATAATCAGAGAAGTTAAGATGGTTGGCATGATATTATCACATCACCTGCCAGATAATCAGAGAAGTTAAGATGGTTGGCATGATATTATCACATCACCTGCCAGATAATCAGAGAAGTTAAGATGGTTGGCATGATATTATCACATCACCTGCCAGATAATCAGAGAAGTTAAGATGGTTGGCATGATATTATCACATCACCTGCCAGATAATCAGAGAAGTTAAGATGGTTGGCATGATATTATCACATCACCTGCCAGATAATCAGAGAAGTTAAGATGGTTGGCATGATTTTACCACACCTGTCAAGTAATCAGGGAAGTAAATGTGCTTGGCATCATATAATCACATCACCTGTCAAGTAATTAGTAAAGTATATGTGCTTGGCATGATCGTTCCTTCTTTCTTTTTTCGTATACCTCATTTTCTTCCATCTTTTATTCCCAGTTGTAGCATAGACCCTCAACTCACAACCCTGTTTATAAGTTTGACCATGTTTGGATGCATTTTGTTGCTAATGTTTTTTACTGAATGGGGTAACCCACCCTAAAGCCTGTATGACATGCTTGGTACCCTTCTAGTAAAACACAGACAGACCACTCCTAGGCACTATAGATACACATAACACTCGACTCATTTCTAACAGGTAATGCAAAGGAATCACTGTGATACATTTATGTGTTTATAATTCCCTGCTATATTTTAATGTTCTATATAAAATCTGTTTGCAGAATTCTGAAGCATTTGAGACGTTGTCGTGACGAAGAAAATGAAGTGATGAAGAATGTACCTGGCTGGAAAACAGGGACACTGTGGGGAGAGCCAGTCTACTACAATGTTAGAGACCGCTTCATCAAACCATCACACACTGAGCAAATTGTGCATCTGGATCCAAAATATGTCAATAAAGTTCAATATAACCATTTGGTGCAGTAAAATAAGCAGTACTGATGTTTTGTGCCTGTTTAACCTCTGTTTCAACCTTTGTGAAACCAAAGTGTGAATGAAGAAAATTAGAGAATTTGATTTTTGGCTGCAAAGATACTTTTTTTAGACATTTTAGTTGCTGAATGTAGGTGTTGAAAACTACTATTTGTGTTTTATTGTGACCTGGTTTTATTTAAAGTATCTAAATCTAACTTAGTATTTTGGTTGTGGTTAGTCATGTCTAATATTCTTGAGTACATACTTTAGGTTACACAATTTTCGTGATTTAAAAAAATGTGTTTGTCCCCTAAAATCTGTGAGTAACTGCCAGTTCAAGTCTGCAATTGCTAGATCTTTTGTTCTGAGGCGGGGCTTTTTCACAATTTCCTCTTATTTCTCTTTAATACAACAATGTAATAATTTCAGTGTGTCATATATGTATTAGGATGTTTTTCTGCCAAATGATTTTTCTGTTTTGTAACCTTCTGTAATTTCTACTTTGGGATTTCCTTAGACTTGTCATGAACATATTTAAATGCTTTAGAGATTTTCTTGTCATTGTGTTCTTCCTGTCTTAGCCATCTCAATATCCAGTTAGTTTTAGAATGAGTGACTTGTAGAATATATAATACTAATATATATATATATACATTATTATGTTGGCTAGTTTACAAACTTTAAATTTGTTTGTTGTTGTTGTGTGGATTAAAATGTTATTCAAAAACCTTTCTAGATGCCTGTTTCGTGTTTTGTGTTGTTGCTGCTTTAAATATTCTTATTGATATAAATGCAGAATTGAACATGATTACCCACCACAATTGCCTTAAAATTGTAAATCTTTTAACTGCCCTTGAAAGAAGTGAAGCAGAAATAAAAAAGAAAATAGGAAAAGGCTAAAAAGATCTTTAATTAGGTTCGAAGACTATTGACAGCTAGAGAGATAAACAGCAAATTAAAAATGAAAATCATCAATTATTATGTATACGCAACCCTGTTGTATGATGCAGAAACTAGGACAATGAACAAGCTACTAGAAAATCAAACTGAGTCTCTGAAATGTGGATATACAGAAGTTGGAAGTTAGTTGCGTACCCTTTACAGGAGCCAACCCCATCACATTTTTTGGCTGTTGTGGTTTTTGTAGGCAAATTTGCATCCAGTAGTTTGCTATTTTTTTTGGGTGGTTAGCTTCTCGTTACCACTGTGGAAACCAGCGCAAGGCCCGCAGCTGGGATCGAATCCTGCACCCCGGCATTAGGAAGGGCATTCGCAACGCCTAAGCCTCAGTGGCCGAGCGTATACAGAAGGTTAGTTGCATATCCTTTGCAGGATGTTGCAGAACCAACCCCAACAGCCCCTGGCTGTTGTGTGTTTTTTCTAGGCAAATTTATGTCCAGTAGTTTGCCATTGCTTTCTGGACGGTCGCCTTTTTTGATACCACTGTCGAAACCAACGCAAGGCGCATGGCCTGCAGCTGGAATTGAACCCGGCATCCCGGCGTGCTCGCATCAACTTAGCCACAGCTCCGACGTATACAGATGAGTAGGTTGTATTTCATAGAAACAAAAACATCTAATACATAGGTTCTGGAAACACTGCGAATGAAATGAGAATCACTGAAGGAAATAAAATGATGATACTGCATGTAGAGGACATTAAAGGAAAAATCACTTACTGCCGACAATACTGCATGTACAGAGCATTACAGGGAAAATTACCTTATCCCAACACTGTGAACCATGTAGAAATTTCGTGACAAAGTATCTGCAACTGTCTGAGACACTGATCATTGCATTAACATTTTGTGACGTGAGACCCAGATTTTTATAGACTAGTGATTAGTGAGGATTATCACCACAGCACTCCTGACAGATATATTGGAGCTATGGGTTCTCCGATCTCCTCCTCAAAAGCTCCACAAGTGTAAAATGATGATGATGATGCCTGTTTTGTGTTGGTTAATGAAACATATTGTCCCCTAGCTCCAGGCTGCACTCTCATGTCGACCTGCCAGACAGGGATACAAAATCATGCCCTTTGGCGTGCTCGTCGCCACGGTCAGTGCTGCTCATGTCATTGATAACATCGCTTCTTTCCAGCACTGTAGCAGCCATAGCAACCACAGTGTCAGCAAGATAATCTGCACGCTCATTTCCTTTAAAACCCAAATGATCTGGCACAAGATAATGGTTAGGGCAGTCATTCGCTAAGTGTTTAGTGTTGCAGTCCATTTTTGCCTGATTAAACCTGCTTGCATTTGATAAAGCATATTCATTAAGTCACTAAGTATGCACACATGCTAGTGCTCTTGTTACAGTCAATGTTTCCATTGTAAGGCTGCTAGTTGTAACAGTAAAGGCACCATTCATCTCCTGATGGTTTTCCCACTTGAGCTTACTGTGAATGCCTATGCGCTTCGCTAGCCCCAAATTACTGATTCATCTGTTTTTTTTTATTTTTAAAGACTAGTCAGCATTAAATGGATGGTGAACCAGTCAGAGCACTCCATGAGTAATGTGGTCATCAATGCACCAGTCAGAGCAGTCTATGCCTGATGTGATCAGCATTACACCAGTCAGAGCTCTCAGTGGGTGTAGTAGTCAACATTACACCAGTCAGAGCTCTCCCTGGGTGTAGTAGTCAACATTACACCAGTCAGAGCTCTCCCTGGGTGAGTGAAGTCAACATTACACCAGCCAGAGCACTCCATGAGTGATGTGATCAACATTACACAAGTCAGAGCACTCCATGGGCGAAGTGGTCAAAATTACACCAGTAAGAGCACTCCATTGGTGATGTCATCAACATTACACCAGCCAGAGCACTTCATGAGTGATGTCATCAACATTACACAAGTCAGAGCACTCCATGGGTGAAGTGGTCAACATTACACCAGTCAGAGCACTCCATGAGTGATGTCATCAACATTACACCAGCCAGAGCACTCCATGAGTGATGTCATCAACATTACACCAGTCAGAGCACTCCATGGGTGAAGTGGTCAACATTACACAAGTCAGAGCACTCTATGGGTGATGTGGTCAACATTACACCAGTCAGAGCACTCTATGGGTGATGTTGTCAACATTACACCAGTCAGCTTAACTTTCTCAAAGACATTTACTAATAACTAGAGGCTGAGGCCAATATAATGAGAAAACCTCACAAGGTAGCATACACAGCAGGAGTCTACCGGTCATAGTAGAAGATCAACCGTCGACAATCGTTTGGCACGTTACCATCCTAAACAATCTCGGAAGGTGGGACAAACTGGGTCATGACGCCAGAACCCAGTATCTCCTGCTGCGCTGAATCTGACACGTATGGACGAGAGGAAGGTGATTATTCAACAGGTACTGGTGAGATTTGATTCTATCGGTGTTGTATTTGTCGCTGCGATAGCAGTCGCTCACCACCACAGTCGAGTGACGAGCGAGATTTGTCGCACACACCGCGTCTACCGTGGCTCGCGCAGGCAGTTGTGCTATTGTCGAACATGTTAGACTCGGCAGTTGGTGGAGACATTGTCGGACACTTGGGACTTTGGCTTTTGAAGAAATGTTATCAGCCTACTAAGGCCCGTCCCCCGTGAACCAACCCCAGTATTTTTGGCAATTATGGTTTCTCTAGGCACATTTTTCGTTCATAGTTTGCCACTGCTCTGAACTGTCAGCTCTCGGTACCATTGTCCAAACCAACGCAAGACAAACCGTTCACAGCTGGAATCGAACCCGACACCGCGGCATTACGATGGCGTTCGCAACGCCTAAGCCACAGGCGCTGACACCCTCTTAGGACTGCAGATTATGCCTGGCTGATGTAACTGATACAGGCAGCATAGTTATAACTTTTTAGGAGGTTGAACAGGGCAAATGGGATCTACCTTGTTGGTCTGCCTTCCAGATTGAGATTTTTTAAATCTCAAGCTGGTATGGTAAACCTTGAGGTAGCAAGCTGACAGGGTGAGCGCTCCACCATTCGATCCACGTCTCCGTCGTCCATCGGAGAGCTTTCCTACTACTACTACTACTACTACTACTACTACTACTACTCCTACTGCTGCTACTACTACTACTGCTGCTGCTACTACTACTACTGCTGCTACTACTACTACTACTGCTGCTGCTGCTACTACTACTACTACTACTACTACTACTACTGCTGCTACTACTACTATTACTGCTGCTACTGCTACTACTGCTGCTGCTACTACTACTACTACTACTACTACTACTACTACTACTACTACTACTACTACTACTACTACTGCTGCTGCTGCTGCTACTACTACTGCTGCTGCTACTACTACTACTACTACTACTACTACTACTACTACTACTACTACTACTACTACTACTACTACTACTAGGACTACTACCATTACTACTGCTTCTTCTTCTTCTTGTTGGCGTGCACCAGCTGTAAACCCCGCCGGAAAGTTCTGGTTGTTTGCCCACTTCTGGACTGTAGTCCTGTTCTAGAACCTGAGTGTTACTTGTGCATCCGTTTGACAAATCTGACAAGATACCCGTCAGAACCAGAAGGAAAATAGGATAACATTTTATTGAACATATCACCAGAACTGATAAGCTGTAGACATTTCGAGCTTTTTGGGGGGAAAATACCAGAGAGAAGAGTCAGCTGAAGAGAAAATAATGTATGTCAAAAACTTGAGCAGCTAAAAAAACAAAGTTAGAGGCAACTCGCTGTGTTAGAGGACGAGAGGTCTGGAGGCAAAGACAGATTCAAAGTATCTGTTATTCCTTGTTTTCTTCTCCCAACTCCTTTAAATGTGTGTCAGGAGGTAGACGCAGCACTGTCTAAGCGTGTTAACACGTGACAGGTAATCTTTTAGTATGACACTTTGACATATACTTTCTCTGCAGATTCACGTGCCCCGACTTGACAGGTATTAAGAAGATCCGGGAGTCCTTTGCATTCCGGATATTTCCGATCGGGGTTCATAACTGTGAGCTCAGATTTCATCTGCAGTCACCAAGGACGTCAAA